GCTAGACTGCTTAGGTTTGTGAAGTACAGGTGAAGTCCTTGGGGACTGATGCTACTTCAGCTGAAATCAGTTACAGAATTCCTTTAGCCTTTGTACAGGAGAAACACATTATCCTCTTTTGGATATATCTAACTACCGTCATGGCTACGAAGAGAGAATGTCCACTGATTTTGGTGGAAGTGATGGAATAAAAGGGGCAATAGTCATTCTACCATTAAAATAAGAAAGAATACTGGAAGTGGCTAAATGCAGAATATAAATATGATCACACTTCAAAAATTAGACCTGGTCTTACACTTTACATTATACTTCACCATAAATGCCCAAATATTTAAATGTATACACCTGAAATAAACACTTAAGTTTGAAAATTTTTATTTTGGGGCAGGAAACACTAAACAAAAGTAAGTAAAAATTATACATACATATCTGGCACTTCACAGGTCCAACCATAATTAATGCCCTTCATAAACATTTAATGAAAAATGAATTTATGTCACTTAGCCAACTTTATTTCTGTTTGCATTTTCAATCTTTCCAGATTTTTTTTGGTTTCCATATTGCTGAAAGGCACAAAAATTTCTCAAATTTATTCAAGCTGTTAGAAAAGAAATGCACACAGAACATTAAGTAGTTGCTCAAATGTTGCTGAGCAGTAAAATACTATGATAAAGTGGCATCTTGCTGTGTCTCTATTACTTCTTCAGCACTAAATTTAATTTATGATCAGTCATCAATTCATTTACATGTCGTTTTATGCTAAATCCATCGTTGCTGATGAATGCATATCCCTAGATCCATTAAGCTAAAGTCTGTGCTTTATAATATGACCCTGCTAATTGTTGCATTACCATTTTTATGAGATACAAAAAGTAGCAGTTTCCTATTTTCTGAGCACATATTTAATCCATGAAACACATTCTACCTATTAAATGCATTCTAACTGCTATAAAATAGGATCTTTTGCAATAGGTATCCCTAAGCAAATCAATATAAAGATTGAACTCTGCCATGGTAAAATATAGCTCATGAAAATGATTTTGTGTAATTTTCAAGAATTATTTCATTTGTGCTCAGACACAATGAATGAAAACTTTTACCATACAGACAGTGATCAGTGATTCTTTTAATCATGACCAAAACATGCCAAAGAAGGGACTTTCTTCCTTGCTGAGCTAAACAACTTCTGGAGATCTTTATAATTTCAAATCTATGTAATTCTATAGAAAAAAAAATTGTTATCCATTTGCAATGGTACTGTTTACACCATTATTTCTCTGCTTATATCAGTGTCCTGGTTAAACCACGACAATCAGTTTGTATCAGTTAGTTAGGCACAAAAGGGCTTGTTCTGATTTCTGTGCTGGTCAATGGGTGCATCTCTCCCCTCAGTCAAAATGCACCAGGGCTGAAGATACAACAGCTCTCGCTACCAGCTTCACTGGTGGTGCTGGGGGAGTAGAAGATAAGGAGAAAACCCCCAAACCATAACACTTTGATCTGACAAAACCTAGTGTTGCTCTTAGTGATTTCACTGAGAAGCAAATTAATTTCTTATACAGTCATCATATGCAATTAATTAAGTCTATTAAAGTAGAATAATAAAACAGACTCTTCATGACCATTCATGCCATAAGTCTGCACAGCAATTCATTATAAAGGCAAGCATTAAACATCCACACCCCCCCCATATTTCAGTGTGTCTCTGAAGGCAAAAATAACCCTAAATAATTGTGAATTAACAGTCAAGTAGTCAAGTAAGCAGAAGTTTTACAGCTGCTTTTCAGTTCTTTCTTCTTTTTTTTTTTTTTTTTAATCAGAATCAGTAACTCAGTATCCTAACAAACCATGCTGGGAATGAAACAAAACTTTGGCTTTCATTTCATATTCAGTCCCACAAATGTTCAAATCTAAACCTCCTTCCTTGAGTTTTCTTTGCAATATCTGGAAAATGTTAAGATATAGTCACTGTGCACTCCTCCTTTCTTTTCAATTTATTATACACGTCAACATTATGTCTCTGCCACCTGCAAAGAGAAAAGCTTAATAGCACAGATTAAAACCTTGTCTGAATCTTCAGTTAGCTGTAACTAAAATTCAAGGGCCTGGAAGACAACCTGACTTTTAAACAGTTTAAAGGAGCAACACTGTGGTTTCAGAGGAATTTAGCAGTTTGAGCTCAGCTCATACAGTGCCAGTGCTTCCCCTCAGAGAATCCCACATTTGGCATTGGATGAAAACCTCGGTCTCAGCTCAGCCATAAAGAGCAAAATACCATTTCACTCCGAGAGTGGGTATCGTCAAGTCATTGCAGAGGCATGCTAACAGTACAGGGCGAGGAGACTCGCCCTGCGCACCGTACAGCAACTTTATTTGGAGGCACTCTGGACCAAGGGATGTCAATTTAGATTTCTCACAAACACTGAATTCACAGGGCGCACTTCAAAATGAACAGAAATATTGCTTCATCTGGGTCAGCTGTTCTCATTTGCCTCCATTTTTTAATATAATCTTTAAAGAACTGAAAATGTGGTATATAAATTCCTAAGAAATTGCTGGTTTAAGTCACCAAAAGCCCTGTGAAAAGAAGTAGCTTATATATTCTCAGTGCAAGAAAGAAGAATTTAGTTTTTCTACAGTATTTTAAGAGCAATCAAATTAAAGAATGAGAAACAGCTTAGAAACAATGAATGCAATTTGTTACATACACTCCTTAACACCAGTAAATGCAGCCTGGAAGAGTTAACAGAAACAGGTACACAAAAATTAAAATTATCTTTTGAAACAATTTGCCCAAGGATAATAAACAATTTTCTTCCATCCTAGAAAAAAACGAGCCCAAAACAAGCCCTCAGAAAATCGAGGTTTTGCTCATATAGTAACTGAGGAAAACAGAAGTAGTTTTGTTATTTGGAGAGTTTGCCATTTTACAAATCGTTTAGACTAACACTGTGGCTGTATTTTTGTAAGGCTATAATTTCGTAATTGTTTTAAGTCAATCTAAGTGTTGGCTATACGCTAAAGGGGCAGTCTGTCATTTTGCTTCCCTTCCAGCTGCACATTCCCTTCCTGCAGTGCTGGCAAACACCTTGCCATGCGGTGAACCAGATCAAGGAACAGATCGAGCTAGTAATTAAGCAAGAAAAAGCAAAAGAAAAACCTTAATTTTCAGCTGGATGAGGCTACAACAAGATAGTGGTCGAAATGAGTGGGAGTGCATTTAGACCACCTTAAGTACACTCCCAGACTACATTACCAAATTCTGCCCAATTTCTTCCAAAAAAATACATCAGGAAGTTTTTAACTCTCCAATAATTAAACATTTAACACTCCAATAATTAAACAAGATTTCTAACTATTAGAACAAGCTTAAATGTTATTCATAAAAGGACAAATTGTAATAAGCACAGAAGTCCGTGAATTGGTGCAGAAATGCAGCTATTCCCCACTTTGCACTAGGAAGGGTAGTCCAAAATATTAGGTGAAAATGCAAATGTGAAAAACATTCATTTTCTGATTCATGGATGTATCAACATTGACATTTTAATACATACCAAATGGAAAATATATAGCCACCTGATTTTTTTAATTATTATTTATTTCTGTATTACGAGTGTAAAACCCTTACTGCATTCCTAATGGAAAGGCTTCTAAGCCATTAGTGAGATATGCAAAAATATGCAGAATTATAGCCTGAAGGAGATTACACTAGAAATTCAAGCAAAGTGACTTAACATACTCATGCACTAATAAGTTAACCTTCTCAATTCAGGGATTTAAACTTTAACTCTATGGCCTTCAGTTAGATCTGGATTTCAAATCACAGCAGCAGAGATACAATTCTTAAATCTTAATTAGATTGGCAAGCAGTCTGGCCCTAGGGTGAAGGAAAACCTGGTAAGTGGGATTAAGCTACACACTATTTAATTCAACAAGGGAAAAGGAAGGAAATTATAGGTATTGATGGTCCCTCACTGTCATATTCCTGCAGTGTTTTCAGAATGGCAATGTTTAAGTAAGGGTGCAAAATCCTTGGAATTTCAAAGGTCCAGAACAAAGAATTTCATCTATTCAGTGCTCTTCCACTGAGATCAAAGACTGAAGAAGCACCAACTAGCTTTTATGAGCTATGGACACTATGTACATTTGGGTCTCCAGTACAGCTGTACATTATGGATACAGGATATTATATAGAGGCCCAAGTTCAACCTAAAGGGAAATACACTGATGCTTACAAAAAGTATATTATGTCCACATAAAATCTGTATTTTACAAAAAACGTCTTTCACTGCCTACATTTCATCAACAGCATTTTTATTCATTCAGATTCTGTGCATTAGTTTAGCATGCCTTTCTAGGTCCCCTTTGATGATCCCTGTTGTAACTTTCCAAGGCATGCAAAGGGTGAGAAGCAGTGAAGGATGGAGTGTCAGAATAATTAAATATCTTCACTGAAAGGCAACAATTACTAAATTCAGCAATACAAAGTAGGTTCAAAAGACACATTTTCCTACATAAATGTTGTATTTACTCTGTAGATAAATGTTGTGCTGATCTAAATACACTTATTCTTAAGTCTTTTAACTTTGCTGTGTTCATCTGTGAAAGCATTTACCCAGCAAAATATCTAAAAGTGCTTTAAGATAACATTTTTATGCTGCTTCTGATTCATGAAATGTATATTCCTAAGCCAAGGTCTTCCCCCTCCTTTCTATGTAACTGGCTTGCTTCTCCAGTAGACTGAACTTTTCATGAAAGCTAGGATATAATTGAGTTTTCTTTCAAGTCTTTAAAGCTTTTTAAAATTCATGAATTTTCTTATCATTTTGCAGCAAAGCAAAGTATTTTCAAATCCTTCTTTAACTTTAGTGTTTAATATTAACATATTCTAAATGTTACAGAAATAGAGTAGAATAAATTTTCACTTAGAAAGTGTTTGACTGATGATGTATTTTACTGTTAGGAACAAGTTGGTGTCACTGTTAACTGTGTTTGGTTACCTGTCACAGAGCTGTCTAGATTGTCCATACTGGAGCCTGGAGTATGCTCTAGACCTCTTAGCGGCCTACTGATTTCTACAGTTTCTTCTTCAATATCATCCTCCTCATCATCATCATCTGGAACATCTGTTTCCAAATCTGAAATAAGGTTTCCAGATACATATCCTAGGGGCGGAACTGGAGCCTGAGGAGGTTGTGTACTGCTTTGGATGTGCCTACACAAACAAACAGGAAAACATCATCAGAATGGATAAGACTTTGTACCCTATGGTCAATAGAAGACAAACCTTTCAATAAGTCCTGAAGTAGATTTACAAAACATGCTTGTTAGGTCAAACTCAAGAAAAGACAGTTCAGTTATTCACCGTAGCTTCTAACACCAGAGTACCTGCCCACTTTCCAGTCTTAAATACACCTCTCCTGTAACATGGGGAAGGTCAAGATTGTCGTTTTACAGATGAAGAACGATGTACACAGAGGCTATGTAAATCAGGTAGGAAGTCCACGGAAAAGCACAATTCTGAATCCCAACCTAGCATATAAATGTCTCACCCAATATTCCACCTTGCAAATCACACGTTGAGCCAAAATTAAATTTCACTCCTTCTGCCTAAACAGACTTAGTGCCCTTAAGTAGAACTCACCCTAAAGAGAAGGAAATGACCAGTAGGACAAAAGAAATTTTCAAGTCCAATGAACCCATTATCAGCAAGGCCTTTTTATTTTGCTTTATTCCAAGCAGTTTAATAGATTTAATTGCAGCAGTATTAGGGCATGCATGTGTGAAATTACTGCATGCAGCAATCACAATTAAAAAAAGAAAAACAAAGATAAAAAGCATCCACAGGATAGCTAAATGGCCAAAGGCACGCACAGGACTTGGAGTTTCATTTGTGTGGTCTCTGAGAGGCTAGAGAGGAAAAGAACAACCATCGGCTTTCAATGCAGCATTCTCCCCAGCACTACAGGTACACAGCAAGCTGTGCCAGGGGACCCAGGCATGACTGGCCTTGGCATAGAAGCATGTACCATGCTTGAAATTGCTAACTTAGGCATGTGGGAATCCTTGGGTGGCGGTACATGAGGTGCTGTGACCTGATTCGAATCAGCAGCACTCTGGACAGGATCCAGGATTCTGCTGGTCTCTTGCTTGGACATCAGCATAACAGAAAAAATTACAACTGTCACCTGTTTGGTTTCCTAGTTCTAGTATATTTTAGATGAAAACTTTGTGCTGTATTATTACCTACACTCGGTAAGTGCAGTAATTGTCTTTATTCAAAGAGCGCTTTTTTTTTCATAACTTAAATCTATGGAATCTGAGAATGTCATGGTAAATGTTATGTACCACTGGAATCTCTCTCCACCTTGGTGTAGGTTTTAACTTATTGCCTTATTTGCACAGCAAATGCTTCCCTTCTGATATACAACGCCCTTCTGATTACAACTTCTTGAATACTTTTTCTGCCTGGACACCAGGTTCTTAGCTATGCAGTGTTCAAAACACTGCACCAAAGGGCACTACTATCTAACTAACCCTCAATAAACAGTGTGATTAGCTCCCAGTCAAGCAAAATACTTAAGTATATGCTTAATGTTAAGCATGTGATAGAACAATTGAAGTCAATTTCTCATGTACTTGTAGTTAAGCATATATTTAAGTGATTTGCTGGATCAAGGCCATAATGATTATGTACTTTTCCAGTAATCTCTAATGTGCTCTTTCTTAAATTTCTAGTTGGCTGGTCTCTATATTTGTCTTCTGTTACTCCTACAGTAACCTATCTGACACGTCTCATCTTGTTGTTTTGTCCCCTCCTTGCCCCCCACACTGGACAGGTTAACTTTGTGAAAAGAAAACTAAGAAATCTTCCTTCCCACTGAAGACAATGGAGGACTTCCCACTGACTTTGAACATGTGCTGAACAGCATGATACATGTCCAGCCAAACGATATTAAAGCATTAAACAATTCCATTTCATAACTACTGCAAAAATCACTTCTATTTGCAACCCTCAATATTTACCCCAATACCTGCTATAAGGTCCTAGTATGAAAAAAGGTTATCTCCCTGATATTTTTTTCAGTTTCAGGCTCAATTACTGTGACCTTACACAAAAGCGATGTTAAAATCTGTGTATTCCTGAGCACATTATGACATTTCCCAATCAATTTTCATTTCTCCAAAAAGGGAACAAGACCTCCCCTGTCAGTTGCAAGAGGCTTTGCTACAGAGTCCTACTATGTTATCCACTCCCAGACTGGCACCCACAGTTTGTAGGGCGTAGAAAGGGTAACAGCTGCAAAATGCAGCAGTGATTGACTGCGCAGACAGGGTATGCATCTGTGTGCTGGCTCACAAGTCAGCTACCTTCAATAGGCCAGGTCTAGCTGCTGCCTGGGATTTGGGTCTGTCCCACAGGCAGGTCGGGGTCTGTGCTTGGCAGCGTGACACTGCAGCAGGACCAAAGTACCCTGTTGATTGAGTGCAGATTGCAGGCAAGCCTCAAGGCTTTGACGGTGTCCAGGGAAAACAGCTGGCTTTGATTTGGCACCACCTGCCTACCTGCCTGATCTATTTATGGTAGCTCAAGCTGAATAACTCTGTGGCTTTATTTACCAGCGAAGAAAGGCTGCTCCTCCACTGGCAGCACGCCATTCAGTAACTAGCTCTGCTCCTCTCCTCTGAGATTCGCAGGCTTTGTCTGGATAGAAAAGTTGTAAAAGGACAACTGCCGCTTAGGGAACATCCAGAAAGCAACTGACCTTCACCATATCCCCAGCCTGGTGCAGTTGACAAGTTCTTTTTCGGTCCCTGAAGAGATTGCTTCTGTTTGTTTTGCAGGGGAAATGTTACTGTGGTATTTGCTTGCTCTTCCTTTAAATAGGCATAAAGCACTCTAAAACGCTAGATCCATTTTGTAAATACTAACAACTTCCTTTCTGCTATTTCTGGGTTTTTCCCTATGAGTCAGAAATTTCATGGTATTTCAAACTACAGTCAGAGATGCAAATGCTTCATTCTCATGTGACACAGGGTAAAAGTTGCTACATTGCTATTTCAAGTGACTAGCATTAGTTTTAATCAGGAATTTAGAACCTCAATATTTTTGAAAATCCTAAAAAATTCATATCTTTTGCTAGCATGAAAAGAGAGTACTCCGAACTGTACAAAAGTTATCAGTAGGTGGGTGTTAACTACTTAGTTGAATGTATGTAAAACTCCAAAGGAATATTATTTTTACATGGTTTTAGCCAAGATTTAACATATTACCAAGCATTATGGTTTAAAAAGCACCTACTAATGTTTAAGGCCTTCACACTGTAGACACAGTTTTGCTATCTCTTCTTCCATTTTACTGCTCTGGAAACATTACTGAAACGTTACTCAACACAGTTGATATTTATGCCATCAAGGAATAAACTATTATTATGCTTTGACTTCCCAGACCACAGGTGCCCCCTTCAAACATTTACCATGTCTGCTTTGCTATATCAAACTGGTAAGCCCTAGTTAATTCATCAAGGTGGGCTTGAAGCATTGGCTGCATCTCCTCTCGTGGAGAAGGTGTGAGGGTTGCAGTTGACTGTTGCCCAAAGGAGATTGCAGGTGATGAAGCTACTCCTCGGACAGGAGGTGTGGGAACACGATCATCATCTTCTTCAAGCTCATCCTCCATGCCCTGATGTAGGTAGGTCTGAACTGGCAAGGGCGGACACCAACCATCACTGTCATATCTAAAACAAAAACCAAGTAAACTTAGTTTATACCAAATCTCATCTCATCCCATGCAGTAGATGGCATACAGGATTTCTGCTACAGTTGGAACCCTCTTCATGCAGTGTGAGCTTTAACATTTATTGAAAATACAGTCATAATTGCTTAAATTCTCCTTACCAAGTCTGTTTAATTTTGCCGGCAACAGCTAAGTGACTTGAACAAGATGTGCAACAAAAAATTACTGATCCATTATCACATTTGTTAATGGCGATTAGATCATGTTACGCCACAATCAACAACAAAAATGAACTAACTCACTTCCTGGACCATTAGCCTAGCAGAATACATGAAGATTGACCTAGACATGAAAATAGCAGCATTCTTAGAAGGCAGAGTGAGCTTTACGTAGTTGCACTATGCACTTCCTTACTCCCATCCTCCCCTTTCTTCGTCTGTAAGTTTACTATTTGATTTTATTTTGTAGCTTAAATAAAAAAGCTACACTTTCCACATAAATTCTGGTCTTTCCACACTGCATATAGGTATCTACTATGGTGTGTAATACATTCATGTTGCAGCAGCACTGACCCTAAGCATATGCTACGTCACAGCACCAGCTGATAAGATACATTAGCACACATGCTGACAGCTCTGCCAGCACGCCACCTCCTAACCAATCTTTACTGGGACTTACCTAGGCAGTGCTAAATTTCTGAACACTTTCAACACACCTGCCCAAAGTAAATTAAAAGATTAACAACTACCAATATTCTTCAATACCAAATTCTTCTCTCTTCACATAAAAGAGATGTTCTGATAGGTTTCTGTGGTTCAATTTTTAGTCTTATACTAAAGGTGTAAGAGCTGATGTTACATCTGATCAGGGCTAGAAACAGAAGCTTTATATTCTATTCTATTATGCAACCTTTGCCAGCAATTCAATCGTTTTCTGTCTCTGTCCTCATAACAGGACCTTTCAATTCAGTGCTGTATTACAGTATCATCCCACAACCCTGTCCCTTAGAGACACCAGCATCACTCAAGATGAATAGGCCCTAGTGAATGTGGTCATTCCCTGTGTGCTATCTCCCCTGAGTAATTCCCTAATCTGAACATAACTTTAGTTGTGCACTTCTCTGCTGACGATCACACCATTCAAATCTCAACACTGTCTACTCTTCCCATCTTCAAAACGTCCAGTCAGTCTGCAGTCCCTTGAGCATCTGCATACGTTTCTTCTTAACTCCCAGCGTATTCCAAAATACCTCCGGTTAGACAGCTCTTTTCAAAAGGCAACCAGACAACCAAAAGCTCTCACAGCTCCTTCATTGTTAAACCATCTCACACTCTAAAGGCCATTCCCCAAGCATCATCTAAGTCACTTTATCTTCTTTCCACCGTCAAGGCCTGCTGACAAGGTACACCCCTTTTTTCTGCAATGCAGTTAGGCAATGCATTGCATTATACGGTTAATTTCTTAAAACAGTTTAAAAATACTCCTTTAAGGCTTCTAATTTCGAAGGAAGGAATTACCAATTTCCCTCAGAAAAATGAATCACTGCCAATTTTCTCAAGTGTGAAGCCGGGTTACAAAACAGCTGGGAACACTGAGACAGAGAAGTTTCAAAACCTGTATTATGAACAGAACATTTACTTTATGTAAACCCCAAAGATTTCTAAACTTAACTAAACTACTTTTTCCTTATTCAAAAGTCTGTAGTCTGTATTTAAACGCACAGATTCAGGGTAGCTAAACCAACCTGACTTAATCATCCAAAATGCTGTGGACGACACATCTTGTAATTAAGGCTGGTATCACTTCAACCCTATATGAAGATATAACCATATGTAGGTACACAAACAAATGTTTGTGTACAGAGGTGCAAATAAATGCTGCATCTTAACACTTGGCATTTATGAACTTTTGAGTGAATGATCATTACCATTTTGATAACACAGAGATTTAAGAAAATGTTATATGATACATATTCAATTCCTTAGGAGACAATTAAGATATGACTACCCCTAATTTGTGTTTCCTTGCAATATTCACTCATGACATTGCCACCCAAGGGTGAAGGGACCATCCTATCTCATGCTGCTAAAAATGTACCGTGCAACAGCTCTGTCACTTATTTTTACTCTCTCAACCTCATGCTTTAGTATAATAGCTTCTTCTTTAAAAGGGACAGGGCAGAAAGATACTCCTTAGTGACTTTTCAGTAATGCATAAATGAGCTTTGAATGTGCTTGCCTTTTGACCCTACTTGCTTCAAATCCCCAAATGTTCAGCTTGATAGCAAAAAGATTTCTTAGAAAAAGATTTCTTAGGAGAAAGATTCTGCACAAGTACCACATCTTTACCTAGATTTTGTTTGAAATGGAAAGGAGCGTAAGCCTGAGGTTCAGGCCACTGAGATTCAAGATTTCAGGTACAAGAACCTTTGACTTCATAATGTAAGATGCCTGAAAAGCCACCAGTTCTAACCTGCATTTTACAAAAAAAAAAACAAAACCAAAACCAATCTGCAAGAAAAAGCTAGGAAACCTAACAGGCTACATACTAACTACACCTCATATAAATGATACAGTTATTGAAACTTCTGGAACCTGCACAGTGAATATTGATCACATCCATGTTCTTTTTGGGTTTCTGAGTAAATACAACTTGGTGAAAATGCATGCAATCTTTTTCAAGTACTTCTTATTAAAATCTAAGCACCTTAATTTCTCTAGGGACCTCTGATTGTAATTTCATGATAATTAAGTCCCTAAATAAGTTCTGGTTAACAAATATGTCTCTCTATGTTTCTAATAATTTTTTTCTATTCTCAGCACTTTTATTCTATTAAAAAGCTTGGTTCATTACATTGATAGATTTTTTTCTTCAAAATAAAAACCAGACATGATAGATAAGGCGCACATTCTTTAACAGTTCTGTTCCTTTACACACATCATTGCAGCAAAGAAAGCTTCCCTGTCTAGGCCTTGCCAGAAAGGATTTTTTGATGTAGAACGATTACCTTCTTTACTTTTTCTAAAACCAGAAAATTACTATCAAATATATTGATATCCAGCAGCTAATATTGCATTTTAAGGTGGAATCAATAGTAAGGAAAAGAAATAACCAATGACAACAATATGAAGACTGCCTTTACTGGGGTTGGCTCAAGATCATGCACATTATTAATGAAAAAATATAAGAAGATGATAATGAATAAGTAATAAGCATTTCCCTACTGTCAAGTTTATTAGATAAAACCAAGCAAAAGCATCCTCTCTGAAAAGGGCAGGAAAGGGAACATGCTTGATTGGGAGCTACTACAGGAAAAGAGAAACTTCAAAGACTTTGCAGTATATACAAGAGAAAATTAAGGAAGACAACACGGAACAAGCACAGAGTTTGTAGAAGACCACAAAAGGGGGATGTTTCACAGGAAAGAGCTTGCTAGGAAAACAAGAGTATAAACAGACTTTCTGCAAAGGTTAAATAGGAATTTAAGACATCCCAAAAGCTACCACATTATATACAATGGCTGCTTGGATTAACATATTCACCCTTCCTTATGTGTGTTGCAGTTCATGGAAAAATGGAGGTGAATGCAAACCTCAGTTCTGGGGAGAAGACAGTAGAAAGAACTAAGAGTGTATTCTGGTTTTCTTCCTTACCTCTGATTAAGTTAGATGACTTTTTTTTTTCTCACTTGCTGCTATTGTGGATTTTCTTTTACAATTTATAAGACAATAGGCCACTAGTGTTAATTCCTAGTAAGCAAAATAAGGTATCAAGACTGTTTAGTTTATTTGGGATATTCATGCCAATGAAACTCACACTTGAATTCAAGATTTACAAGAAGACATGCACAGAAATATAAGTTTCTGTTTAGATGCTCACTTCCTTGTTTTATTGCTCTGAACTTTCACCTTTCATATCACTTTGCAAGAACTTTATTAAAGTCTTCAGTTTTTCTGAATGGAAGTCCATTTTTCAACTGTAATTCACAATATAATTGCATCTGCATGTAATTAATTCTAAAATTAAAACACATTGAAATTGTCATACATAATATACATCAAAGCAAATCAAGAAAAACAGTTTTAAAAAATTGCTTGCTTTTTTTCTTACCCGATATGTCAATATTAAATGCAACATAAGGAATGCAGTCTATGATTCATTTTATTTTAGCATGTTGAAAATGACAGAAACAAGATCAACCCCTCAATACAGAATGACTGTTAGAATTGGATACCTCCTCAGGAAGTATGGGCATTGCAGATTAACTAATTTCAGTGAAGTTGGTTGCAAATTACTGTAGCTCAAGACTGATACTGTAAGTCTAATTTTCAAAATTTTTTTGCGTTTTGTAAAATGCACGTTAGAAGGTCTTGTTACAACCACCGTTAATGAGATATTACAAAAAACAGAGAAGAGTAATTCAAAAGATAATCAGAGGAAAAACTAAGTCTGAATTGTTGGGAACCTGGAAGGCTGCTGACTACCTTATCCTTAAATAACCAGTGTTGTCTTGGTGATCAACATCATTCCTTCCAGCTAAATAACAGATACTTTATGCAACTGAGGAGTGAAGCCTTGTGTCACAAGGGATTTCTCTAGAAAGTATTTCCATTTACCTTTTATGCTATTTCATTGTCCAGAAAGAAAATCAAAGTTGTTTGCCTTCGATAGCGTAATTATTTTAGAGAAATGGCTGTACATGAGTTTTAAGGATATAAACTGATAAAGACAAATATTATATGGCGAAACTATCTTAAATTTACTTTAGCTTTTTATAACAGAATACAGAACATAATGATTATACGCACTTTTTGCCTTGAGATTTAAACAACACTTACAATCAGGAAGGTTATTCATTTTCCCTTATATTTGCTTTGAAATTCTAACTCTAATACAACCTGAATGGACCTTCATTTTAAAAGAAACTCCACTGACTTACACAGTTAGTTACTATTCATTTTAGGAGTTGAAGGAATTGGTATAAACTGCTATAAACTTGGTACAAAATATTAATATTTAGTTCTTCTAATTTTCATTATAAAAGTAGTGATGATCAATTCATGCTTACAACAGAGATAACACTTGAAGTATTTTTATTCAGTAAAGCTATTAGAAAGATTTTTAAAACATATGTTTAATCTTCAGGAAATATTGATTAATCCATGTATTTAAATAGACAGAAATTTGTCCCTGACAGAACAATGATTCTCAAAGGCTCCAACAAAACTGACCACAGTAAACTATTTTTCTATATACTCTGATTTTCCTCCCAAGTTTGATAACCGGGTATTTCATATAATTTCACTTTATAAAAAGCATTCCATAATTGTTCTCTGTGCAGGAAATGTCTCTTTCCTCTCATTTAGTGCTTTTTGTGTGATTCTGTGTCCTTGAGAACAAGTTTAAGCTATCCAAAAATAAGTGTAAGGTTCCAGAAACTCAAGAGTTGTTTAAATAATAATAAAAAAGGCCTATAAATAGCATGCCTTCCTCAACTGTGAAATTTCTCCTAAAAGCTGATGAGAAGATTACTATCCACTGGTTGATCTTCTAAAATTAATCCAATTTACTGTGGGGTTTTTTTGTTCTGTTGGCTTTAATATTTTTAAACATCAAAGCAGTGAAAAAATACAAGGAGCCAGATTATGTCATCCTTACTCACTCGGAGTCCCATCATCTGCAAGCAGTCCCAACAGAATTCAATTAAACTACAAGTGAAGAGAGATACTTCTCAGCATGAGTAAGCAGAGAAGCCCTGCACGATGATGAAGCAAGGTCACTTTTATTTCTGTCTTCAGTCATTAGCAAGAGAAGCTATTCAAACATTCCTCCTCTATAGCCTTGAATAAGTCTATAGGATAAGGCTCGCTCTCTCTTTTTTTTTTTTTTTAACAAAGCAGAATAATATTGTCATTTAGCAAAATAATAAAAAAAAAAGCCTCATCTCTGCAATCCACAGATTTTTCTTCAAAAGAAAAAGAAGATAATTACCCTGCTTCTTGCTGATCCACCCCATAGTGTTCCAGCTCTGTGCCTGGAAGTGGCTGCACAGGAGGGGGTGGGAGGGGAACACTGGCCCAGTTTGAACCATTATTTTTCTGGGGCTTGGCAGTATTTTTGTTTTTCTTCTTTTTCCCTCCTTTTCCACCTGAAAATCCAAAAAGAAAAATAAAATGTTAGAAATATAATGTGGGGGAAAAAGCTAGCTATTTACATTCCTTTGAAAGAATTCTGATTCCAGATGGCATGCCCCAAAAAAGAGGATGTATTTTTATCTCAGCAGAATCAGCATCAACGTGCTAATGCTGTTACAAGGTTATAAATAATAATAGAATGGAATGGAAAAGTATTCTGAATAATTGCTGAAAATCAATTCTTTATAAAACTTCACACATTTGCACCACAGTAGTGCCCAACCAAGGGAAGATGTGTTTTGCTGTATCAGAAATATATTTACTGATATATTCATATCCGCTTTATGAATTCTTGAATTGACTGTTAGATAAAAATATAATGGACCATAACAAATTATTTCAAATGTCAGAATCCGATGCGCTTATAACACTGTTTTGCATAATCTTCTTCTGTGGATAACAGAGAGGTTAAGGACACAATGTAAAAAAGTTGTCATTAGACTCAGTATCTTTCAGCCAGAATGACAAGTGTAAGCTGTCAAAACAAAAAGAAACAGGGTTTTGCTGATAGGAATTTACTACGTTACGTTTTAAAAAACATCAGGAAGTCATCTGCAATGTTGTAGGACTGTTTCTTTCGCAGGATTCAAATATCTTGTGCCGTTACAGAGAAGAGTTCTATTTCTGATATACAACTCTAATGGAGGAGGCCGATAGAAATGAAGTGAGCAATGCATTTTGCTTAAGCCCTCTTCTCTTTTCTTATCGTCCTTGTACCCACTTCTCCAGTTGAGACACTTCCATTTGTGTGAAAGTGATCTTACAGAGAAAGCTCTCATCCCACTTGTTTTGCTTCTTTTATTTCGCCCTGACTCCTTTTTCTTGTCAGGAATTCATTAAGAGGAAGAATGGCACAAGATTTCAAATCCCTTGACTGCTTGGAGACCCATCTATTTATTGACATTTTGTTGTGGCTTTCAAATTCTCTGGATTGTTGGGTGGAAGAATGGTTTGTCATATGCTTTTTCAGTGGGGTACCCAGCTGGCAGTCACTCACCCCTTGCCTGTTGCAGAAAGCACAGTTTAATCCATCTTAGCCACTGATGTCTCTTGCTGATTTATAAGGATCAGCCAAAAAAACCCATGTAAAAAGTTCTCAACAGCAATGAAACAAAAAAGCCACAACTGACTTGTCAGGCAGGGTGGCACAGTGTGCACTGGCAGGCACCACCCTCTTTGCCATGGTTCTAGCTTTAGGCATAGAGAAATTCAGAAGGAGGTGCAATTCTAGCAACAGAAACCAGCATGCGTCATGGGACTTTTCGTCTGAGAGACAGTGGATTTTTTCAGTTATCTCCAAATATCAGCTGGACCAAAGCAGGAACGAATAGAGAGGGAAGAAAAAGGTGATCCTGTGATTCAGAAGTAGCCAAGACTTCTCTTTTCACCTCTTGTTGTGGTTGCTAGAGACAGGCAATAAGTCTGGCAAGGTTTCTAATCAGCCTGGCTGGCAGCATGTTGCAAACAAGACTTTGCTTTGCACTACTCAATTCCAGACCAGAGCTCTTCCTTCCTCGTCTTGGAGTATTTATAGTCCAGCCAAGATCCTGTCATTCACTATGTGCAAACTGAGCTGATATTCCATCTATTAGGATGCAAGACAGGCTCTTCCCTCCTTTTGTAGCCTGGCAGAGAGGGAAGCTTTCTTGAAAAGGGAAAGAACATTTTGATCAACAGAAAAGAAACCCCAGTGATGGTGGCAATGGAAGAACAAATACATGAACCTTCTGGAAGGAAAATGAAGCTTTCAAAGCACAGGTGTGGCAGAAAGCAGAGTTAGAAGTAGGGTCACAAAACTACAAAGGAAGTACGTTAATTTTGATTTGTGGGACATGGGGAAATTTTTGAAAAGTCAGCAGGAGTAAGAGACAACAAGAGCTAAGGCAGAAGGGGCTGCTTTGGGAGGAAAGCACATGCAAAGTGTGTGTGTGTGTGTGTATGTGTTGCAGGGAGATTTAAACTAAGACTACTCAGAGAAGAGAAATGCAGAGAAGAACTTGAGCTTAGAGATTAGTTGAGGTGAAGAGGAAGATTTTGGAAGTGTAGCATCTTGGTAATCTTAGGAGACTGGTAAAACAGGTTGGATATGTGGGATGTTAGTATGGAGTCACTTGAATTTGGGGGATTTTGGAGAGAAAGGTCAAAGATAGCGGAGCTATTAGAGTGAAACATCGAGAGCTGAGGAACTGTTCAGATGAAGAAATAAAAGAAAGGAACTCCAAGGTCATTACTGGCAGGGGAAGCAGCCTACATCGTACAGCTGGGCAGGAGATTTCTCTTCTGTCCCCATCGGCAGAGCTACTCCACTGTCAGTGTAGTGGAACAGGCAACTAATACATAATGCCTGATGTGTGTTTGAAAACTGTTGCACCAAATCCTTGTTTCCCCACAGCAATGATGCTTGATGTTTCAGTGTCTCCTCGCACTGAAATTCAATTATATTGTTTAAATCTCTAGATGAATCAGGTCCTGGAAAAAGAATTTGCCAGTCGGGCTGATAATCATAGCACTGACATAAGCTGGGAGCTGTGCAAAGTACAGCCACAGAATTTGCCTGCCTCACAAAGCAGTTGAGTTTTTAGCTATTTTCCATTCCACAGTGGGATAGGATTTCTCATGATATCCATTTGAGAGAGACAGAAACTTAGTCAGAATAATAAGTAGTACCTAAAGTACTAACCAAGGAAGTGAGAGAACAAATCCCTGATCACCCTGATGGGGACTACGTAATCAAAGCTGGTCTCTGACTCCAGTGATGCTCTAATTATTGGACTACTTGAAGGTCTCCCCCAGTTTCTCATGTATTACAGACATAATTAGCTGGCATTAAAGACATAATTAGTGGGCAAGGGAGAGCAAAATACTGACTGCAGTCCAACAGTTTGACACTCATCTGAGCATTAGGGCATCCAGGTGGGAGCTGCTTTGATCACAACAGGAGCGCCCTGGTCATAGAAAGACTGGCTAACCTGAAGTTTCTGTGTGTCATCAGAAAATTTACTTCAAACTGAGAAACACTACACAAAATACGTTTCACTTGAAATATTTGTTCAAAGTCCAGCTTTTGATCAAGTGGCATTTTCCAATGAAACTTTGTATTTTCTGAGAAAATTCTTAGGCAGCTGTAGCTGTCAACACATCTAAAGTGTGATACTGCCCTCTGATAACTGGCACATTTGTACCTCAGCATATCAATTTCTGCATTTTCATGCAGCCAGAGGAGCAAGCTGATTTCCTAAACTACTTGCCAATACATCTCACATACAAGGAACAAGAATCTTTCTTGAAGTGTTGTATGAACTTAGCTCTCAGATACCTCTCTGTCAATGCCACAAGCCTATTTTTTGATCTCACTCAAATCAGCTAATATTCTCCATGAGAACACAAGACTTGCAAACACATTTGGCTATTTAAGTTATGGGCCAATGATTATAGGCTTCTAATCTCAACATTCAATTTGAATAGTCATTTAAATTGATGTAAAGAAGCCATTTCTAGGGCTGATCGGTTACTGTTATGATTGCTCCAACTTATAGTGGAACTTCAAAAGGCTATGGATATAGTATGAGTTTGAAATTTAAGTTCCTTCAGCTCCCACATTTCAGCTGAGTGAAATAGCAGACTTTCTGTTTAATTGCTGGCTTTTCAGTTTTTGTCTTTAAAAAAAAAAGACATAGTTATAGATAACATAAGCAACAAGTAAGCAAAATGAAAGAAATCAAGAAAAAGGTGTGTTTAAATATAATACACAACAACATATACTACAATCATTTTCATCCAACGAAAATGCATCATGTTTCCAATATAACATGCAGCACACACATAAAATTTACATTCTGTTTGTATGCAGACTTGGCACAATTTTTGAAACCCCAGTCATCTCACAGGACCCTACATTTATTTCTGACCTGCCTCACTGAAAAAAAGCATTTAGAAACAGCTCATGGAGTGGGGAATCTGTTAACAACTCAACAAAAATATTAATTTCCTCGTGAAGTTCAGTGTGGGGAGACCTATAAACTGAGGATTGATGCAGAAATATATTTGCTCCATGAACTGTGCTGTCAGGGAAGGGATGGGACAAGGCAAGGTCTGCAATTGTGCTGACAAGCGCTGGTTGGGAGGATTCTCCAATTACCTCCAAACAGGTTTTGCAAAAGGCATATTTTTTTTTTTTTTTTTGTAGAGGCCAACACGATGCTGTTTGCTGATGTTCCAGTGGGCAGGCACCCTCATACCTATCTGTGAAGTGCACCTGGGAGGTCATCCGCCTCCCTGGCGAGCTGCTCACCAACACCCCTCCGTCCCTCACCCACCCACGGCGGTGGAACCAACCTGAGAGGCTGCCACTCCTTTCGGAGCTGTTGTGGGAGCTGGTGGTGCTGAAATCCTGTGACTGGTTGTGTGGCAATCTATTAGCCAATCCCTCAGCCACGCGGTAGTCAGGGATGTAAAGCAAGGCTAAGGGTTAAAGGGCAAAGGTCACAGTGGCATCGTGTGATTAGTTGACAGCACAAGCACATGCAACACATGCAGTTAGCAAGTCAACAGCAGATGTCGTGGGCAGCAAGTTTTAATTTTTCTTTTTTTTAATGTACACCTATCCTAGCCTAATGGAAGGCAGATGGCTTGGTGATTAGCACAGGACAAAGAGGATTAAAAGCACAGAACAGTATATTTTGTGGTTGTGTTAGGTTCGGCACAGCATGCAAGGTATGTAAGCATTAGTTATGGCAGATATGAAGTGTCTTATGTACCAAAAAGATTTTTTGAATTCATGCATAGATGATACAGTATAAAGCCACGGGCTCTGGAAAATAAGAGCTGTAATTACCATTGTTGCCCTTGCCTTGGTCTGGGAGAGAGTAACCGAAACCCATCAGGTCATTTTTTTGCTGAATTGAGCTTTTCCACTGAGGATCAGGTAAGTCAACAGCCAACTCATGGATGCTGTTGGAATGCAGTATCTGGGTGGTGGCATATGGCGTAGCTTGCGTTATTTGGCTGGAACTGTTGTAACTAGTTTTCGTGGTGAAGTCAATGCTGCTGTAAATGGCTCCATCAGAAAGCATAGTAGCAGTTTTATCTCCTTGCCCTGGCACCGGTGGCAGCACATCTGTGGAGAACATAGGGGAATGAAACAAATCATTGATGCACAGGAAGCCTGAAAGTATCAAGGTTTAAGATGAAAAATAAATGTGTCATTTTGCACGTTTGCATTTCAGCTGAGACAGGTCCATGAGCCAACGAAGGGAAGATGATGTACAACCATAGCCAAGCTATCAGCATCTGTGACAGGACTACCACTTGTCCTTCACGTCTCACTGCCTAAAACCATCTTTTTTTTTTTTTTCCCATACCTTCAACTGTGAAAGTGAAGTTTGGAATATTTCTCTACTGAAGAATGTTTTCAATTGTTCACTTTATGTCAGAACCAATGAAACTGTCTGGGCTTCAGGAAAATGATGAAAGGAGTGAATCTACAAATCACAGAGCAAACTTTCCCAGCAAATACGTAGCAAAACTCTTACATGGATGCCAAAGCTCTCAAAGCAATTTTTTAAGGACATCACCTTGACTTCCTTGAAGTTTTATGCATCAGCTTATCTAATTTTATTTTTGACATTAGCTAGTACATTTCTCCTTTTCAACAAAAGAAAAACCTGACAAAACCAAGTTGCTCCTGACATATGAAAGAAAATCTGTTATGCTGAAGGGATTTAAGTGATCAGTCTCTTAAAATGGCAAAGCAGTGTTGATAATGGAGAACAACTTGTCCAAATACTCCAGTACATTTACCCGAAAAACAGTACAGCGTATTTAACTAAATATCTGTTGACTTTTCTACATCTCTTGCATCCTATCACACATTGCAATTTGTACCTTTAATCACTTAGATTGTCAGTCTCTCTCCTTACTAAACATTTTAGTGACCTTTGCTGGTAGAATACTAGATTTAGAAGCTGAGACTACTGAAGTGTGAAGAATCTAATGATGACTGGCATGATGTCCAAAGGAGAACCACAGCTCAACAGACAACCCTCTTCCTGCTCTCTCAGAGGTCAATATATCAAATGGTACTATTTTTACAATTTATTTAGACTCTGAAAAGTTGAAACCATTCTGGAATTTACTTGTTAGAAAAATGCATCATTTATATGCCATTTGCTTCATATAGCTGGATGGCAGATATGGATTCCAACTGTTAAACTGTACTTGAGATAATGCATACACCTATAGTGAAGATGTCCAGATCTCATTCTAGGTATCACAGACATTTTTATATACCTTAAGCCCCAGAGAGAAAAGATGATTCTTGCACCTAGACAAGGGTTTAGGCTCAGTTCCAGACTCAGACATGGGTTTTGTGCAACCTCAGGAAATACAGTTGTTCTTTCACTGTCTCAAGACTTTTCCAGCAATGAGATATGATACCATGGCGTCCTCCCACTGTTTTGTTTTGTTGGTTTTTTTCCCCTGGGGTGAACATTTAGACCACAGAACTATTTTCTACTGCATTCATGTGTATAATAGTGAACATTTTAATATGGACCCTAATAACATCTGCAGTCTCAGGGCAACAACATAATATTAACAATAAAAATGGCAATAACAAGTGCTCAGTAGAGAGACTGCAGAAACAGAGATTAAATTTGGGTCTATCACTATGATCTGGTTTTGCAGACAACAACAGGGAAATGGGCACAATCAAGTATTTAAAAAGCCTTAATTGTATTAACTTATATCTGTAGATAAATTGTAAGTGCAAAGAAAAACTACAATTAATGCAAACTACAGGTCATATTTCAAAATCAGGTTATTACTATCTATCTGCACACATCCAATGTGCTTTCTAGGGGCAGTACGCAATCATAAAAGCATCTATGTGCAAATACAGCATGGGATGTGAGAGACAAGTGCATTCCTATCCTTCTTGCATTTCGGCCACAATATGAAGATTTTTCCTTTCCACAGTCAGCTTCATCAAAGCATAATGGACTGAAGTTTAGTAAATGAATTCTGTTGCTGATGTATAACATGAAGTAAGTCGAAGTAAGTCCAGCTCAACCTGTCTGTGTTGGATTTGCAGACACATGGAAGTAAAAACTAGCAAAATGCTCATCTTTCTAGTACTCAGACATATATCTATCTTTAAGAGCACGTTCCTGGCAACTGAAGAGGTATCATCTCTATATAGCCATTTTAAAATGGAGAACTATACATTTGCACACACTTGAAAGGAAAGTTGCATAGCTTCCCAGCAGCCAAGAATTTTCAGTCATTCTTACTAATAAGCTGAGATTCTCCAGATGTTCTGGGAATTTCCAGTACAGTCACAAATTACTTTTTTTACCTCAATGAGATGTATACACTAAGCACTCAAAGAGCTATTAAAGTGCCATTTTCCCAAATGCCATAATCACCTAGTAAAAATCAAGTGTGATCTTCCCACCAAGTTGTCGTAGCAAAAAAAACACACTGTACATTTCAGACCAAAGATGAACACACATTTCCCACTGGACACTTTCCCCAAAACTCTCCGAAATCCAATATGTTTTGTAACTCTTGAGATAAATGAAATAGTGCTGAAGTACTTCCTGAGGGAACCTCTTTCTTGCTGCCTTGGAAGACACAGTACCATTTTGTGGCCTTACACGCCTCCAAACTTAACCTGTGCTTCCCACTCACAGCTTTGCTCTCAATGGCTATCTAGGACATAACGTGGATTTCACTCTTAAAGGCAATGTTAGAACTGCCTGCCTCAGCTTCTGAGTTTCCAGAGTGATTGATTCCCACCTTACTGTTTTTAAAATTCTTACAGACCTTTTATATTATCACAGACCTTTTGAAAAGTAAAAGAGGCCCAGGTTCTATCTATACAGTTAATTCATGTTAAAAGACACCTGACTTCCTTAATGCAGAAGCATCCAAACTCCAACTGCTGAAACAAATAGGGATAAGTGGTCCCAAAACAGCTAGAATAAAAGCGTGAGCTCAAGTGTAAAGATCATGGGTGGAATTAAGCTGCTGAAATTCAAAATATAACTGTTGCATCTCTTGGACAAATTTGGACCTATGCCTCATCCACATTGAAGCCAAAAGCTTTAAAATATGCTTCCAATTTCAGTCATATAGAGCCAAATGCTAAGAGAAAATGGTAATTTTTCTGTATTATGTGAGCTTATGAAAAGATGGAAAAGTACTGAAGGGTTTTAAATTCAAGATATTCACAACAAAAAAGCTGCCAGGTATTCAGTTGCCTTCCAAATATCATCAAAAGTTTTGCTTACTTTATAATATTTTTGTAAGACAAGAGGAAAATAAATCTAGAGTGTTTTGTTGTAATTTTAAGTCACAGTAGTCAAACCACAGGCAAGAAGTTTTGCATGGGAACACAGAACCGATGTGAGGGATGGTTTTCAGAAGCAGATTCTGGTACAGTTCAAAACTGAATTCTTTTCACATTTATCAGTTTGATAATTTTACAGATTTTTTGCATTTTAATGTATTTTTTATATATAAAGTTGTCTTAATTTTTGTTTACTTATTTATGTCTTAAAAATATTTATATATTCATTTACATTAGGAAGTCTTGTTCCGAACACCACTATGCAGAACTAGCTGTGTTATAACATCAGAGAAACCAAGGAAACAACACTGATGTGAATATTACTGTGACTTTTAAAAATCCCAATCATACATCTTGAAGTTCCCATTTGAGTAAAATGTTTGAAAGAAAATAACCCCTCTAAAGATTCATCACCATAATTATGAATCATTACCTCATCTCCGCAAAGGGCCTCCCTCAATTCAAAATGGACATAAACCCCTAAAAAACCTGAACAGTTGCCTTTTATGTATTCTTTCCTCCAATAGGAATGAAAGTTTCTAAAGACCTGTGAGGCCTTCTTCATGGATTATGGTTGAGACTGAGAGCAGTCCCTCAGCAGGAAGGGGATGGGTAAGGTGACAGCAACGATGTTCTTCTGTCCTTCTGCTGAAGGAACATCCTTCCTGCATCCCCCAGGTTCTTCTCTGCTCTTATGAACATCCTCTATCCCTGGCTACAGGGCCCTGCACAGCAGATTGCTCATCTCCACACAAAAGGGAATGAGTTTGAGCAACAGACACATTTCCCTTGAGATGATAAGCAGACCCTGTGTCACCACTGTGGGGTAAATTACAAACTAGACCTACATTTTAAAGAAGTAGAAAAAGACAAATAAAAATAAACATTTTAAAGTCAGTTTTAAATGAAATCTTGAGTCAAGCATAGAAAGAACTATAATGATAAAAATATTCCACAGTGTTTATCATAGATGTTAACTAACAGAAGCCTATTGTATACTATACAGTGACTTAATAAAATGAAACCTACCTCCACGACCAAAATTGCCAAGATCATTGGGGCCACTAGTGCTGTTGTTTACTGGCAGACTCGTGGCAGGCCAAGAGTCTGCAAGCCAAGGATAACTGGGGTCACTTGCATTCAACAGACCTGGTCGACTGAAGCAGAATAAGAAAAAAAGATATGCATACAAACATAAATATATATATATATTTACAAAATTAAAATATTTGTGAGACAACTAATGATTGAAGAGAGCATACTACTATCCTCCTAATACCATAGGTAACAAACAGTTTAGGAGACTTTAATTTATTTCAAATTAAAATTGTGTAGCCTTTGATGATTTGAAGACCTTGAGCAGTTAATTAAGGTTATATACAAATCAACTTTGTCAATAGAATTGGGACTAGGTATCCGTTGTGATTCTGCCAGAATCCAAATGAACTCCGTTGTCTGTGTGAAACAGGGGTTAGGCAGCACCATCACGGGATTCTACACCAGTGCTGCATGATAAATTACCACCTCAAGGGAGCCATCACTCAAACTGATTGCTCCCTATCAGCCATTTCCAGGACTTTGGGCTACTATTTCTTCCTTCCCTTGCATCCCAAATGCATGCCTGTCATCTACAGGCTGGCAACTCTTTCTTTGAGTACTCTTGGATGGTTTAGAGGCAAACAGGTTTGAGTTGGATTAATAGAAAGTCCACAGGTATCTTTATCTGCCACTACTGCATGGCTTTTATATCCCTGTAATTCCTAGCTTTGAGAGCAGTATTAAACAGCGAGTACGTTGAAAGAGAAGGTACTCTCAGGCCATAAGGCACCGTGTCTCTCTCACCCCAGGATAAACAGCCAGAAATTTAGTAAGGCAGGTGGATTGTTTGTATTTCTATTTAACAGGGAAAACAAATCATTTCCTGCAGACACCCCTTCCTCCAAACAAAAACAAAAACAAAAATCTACAGTTCTGCAGCTTTTCTAGGTTATTAATGCACTCATGAAGTTGGAGCAACATCTCTGATCATTGTACGTTATAGACCCCTGCCTGGTACAATCCCTAAGAGAAACATAGGTTTCTATGGAAACAGCAATAAGAAGACCCAGCCGCTTTCTTGCCACATCTACTCGCTCTCATTAGGCCTAATCTCTTTTTGCTAAAATATTGATTAAACAGGAGATTGGAAGTTATTACCAGGGCCTAATTACAATCTCCATATTGGCAAAGGGAAAATAGATGAGGATATATGGGCCCGTTATCAGCTTTTATCAATTTCAATTGAGTAGCCAAAGTTGTGGAATCCAGTCCTATCAATCTACAGCCTATTCATCATCCATGAATCATTTATTTCGTGATCGATTAAGTGTAATTGTTCACTCACAGCAATTTAGGGGGACCCAATAAGGACTCTTAAACAACAGCAACTTCATTTGCTAATGTCTAATTAATGCAATAAACATCCCAGTAACAAATGAACACATTCCTTGTGATATTTACTACTCATTTCTTCCAGGGCATCTGGGAGATATGAAACATCTGGGCTTGATTCCTCCAAAGTGCACAACAGATAGGTCATTAAACCTTGTGGTAAGCTACTTAACTCCTCCTAGCGTTGTCAGTCTTCCCAATGATCGGTTATTACCCAAGTGCATCACCGATAGCATTTTTCTGATCCCTAATTTTAAAAATAAATACTATGGAAAGACCTTTATACAAAGAAACGTACCTTCCATTGCTCATTAGTCCTCCATCTCCTCTTTGGAAAGTGACTGTGTTTTGGTTGGAAAAACAAAACAAACAAACATACACACACACACACGCACACACATATAAGACAGGGAAAAATCAATTAGTAATAATTAAAAGTAACAATTCAAACTGCTCAGTGTCCGAGATCGGAGGCCTCTTGGCATCATCACATAATAAAGTACAGAGATGATAAGAAAAGGATCAAACACATTAGGGTTACAATTTGTTCAGGATTTCACTGCACGTTATTGATTAACATCAATTTGCTCTGTAACTTGCAAGGCAAACCAGCCGCCTGGGCAAAAGGCCTGGATTTACCCCAGACCCCTTCATATGACTTCCCGTTGCAAGACTGAGCCATGTGATGAAATTGTTTTCTTGGCATGCTTTTGCTTCAGTACATAATGACATTGCACCAGTGAGTTAATAACATCATGTCATAATGCAGTAATATAATGTCACCACACAAATATGCCATCTCCCAGGACAAATACAAAGAGGTGGCAGCTCTATTAGAGACAAAGGGGTGAAAAAAAGCATACAGCTGCATTTCCATTAGAAGTACTGCAAAAGAACCAGCACCCACACTTAAATGCATACACACCAGTATCACTGGGAAGAAAAAGTGTTTCCAGTCTTGCCATGGGGGATGCCAAGGACACATTCAGAGGGAGACAATTGCTTTTATGGCTCCATTCATGGGTGTTTGACAAAACGCAGCCTATCCCTTATCTATCTTATTAACAGGATTACATTTCAGGGCAACATAGGTAAACCCACGTTACTGGCGAGATGCTGATTGACAACATTTGATGTTTCTTTTTGAAGCACTGGCAAATATTTTGAATCAAGGCCAACAGACTACTCTGGTTCTCAGTGGTAATATCCCATTATTTTTTGTCAGGCATAGATAAGGCAGACTATTAAATTATATCAGTGTCCTGGACACCTGCATCCTTACAGGCCCCTGACAACATGAGTGTTTGAATTTCAGAGAGGAATGGAAGAGTATGTGGCCAGTTTAATTTAAAATAGGCCTTGGTTTGGAAATACTATTTAGCTTTGTAAGACAGATATTCCCATCATTAAATTAGCTCCCAGAGTATTTGCAAGATTTTCTAAACGTTAGTCCAAACTATACTAATTCAAGATTAGGCTTTCTATTACACACCATTCTAATCAGACAAAATTACTACACCCAATAGAAATACCTGTGAGCATTAAAAAAATTAGCAATGACATAAATCCACTGGGAAAACACTTCTGATGCCCTACAGAATCCTTGTTACTTTATTAACTCCTAGGATAATTTTACAGTCTACACTCAGCAAAGGGGACAAAACTGGCCCCTCTGGAAGGCCTGCTGGAAGACTGCTTGGGTAGGGTGATTAATTACCCTTCACTGTAGAACAGACTAATATCAATATCAGAAAATCACTGCAGTCATGTCACATCAAAATGGTTAATAGCTGAATTTTGAAAGGATGTAATCAAACCAATTAATGAAAAGAAAAACAAAATGCAAGTATGGGAAGTATTGAAGTCTGCTTTGAAAAACAAGACATGGTAAAACATTGCAGCCAATTAATTTTAGAGCTGATGCTACTTTCATTCACACTGTTTCTAACAGGCTGTCAAATGACTGTATCACTCCCTGCTTAGAAGTGAATAATCCGAAGTGCTGTGGATATCATGAGTGAATATGCAAAGAGGTGGGTACTGTTTGGCTATGTTTCAAAGTATGTGGTCAAAAGTACATTAGATGCTGTTTCCTTTCTCCTCTTCCCTTTCAAATTTAACACTCCATTTCTCCAACCTTCTGCATTTGTCAAAGCGACATGAAATAAGGAAAATGCAAAACAAAGGCGCATTCCGTAACAACCTTTATAAATAAAGTTTGCAAATTTAAGGCAATTCCAGTAAAACATATTTTCTGAAAACTTCTTGGAATTAATGCTCTTGTTTAGACTATTGTCTACCAGAAATAATTTTCAAGTAATATTGTCACCGCTTATATAGCACATATAGGTGTGTGAGATTTTAACTATGCATGTCATATGGAAAAAAAATCAATACTTGTAGTCTTCAGAATGTTTATATCCCTTGTGTACCTTCATAAAGCAAAGCTAAAATGGAGGAGCTAGTAGGAGACTGCATCAATGTTTGCCAGACATATTTTATTTTCCGTGTAGTGAGGAATGGAAAAAACTCCAAGGCATGCTGTGAGAAACATATCAAGAAGACGTGACATAGAAACCTCTTCTCTAGAGCCATAATTGCTGCAGAGTGGCTGTGGCATATGAGCTTGTTGAGAAGAGACAGGTATCACAGCATTTACTCTTTTTTCTTCTATTTGTGTATTGCGGTGGTAGTAACCGTTTCCTGGTTTTGTCCTACATTAAATAATCTTACACCCTCCCAATATAAACACTGGTTTTAGAAGAAAGGTTCAGCTTAGTTTATTAAAAAAGAAGTTGTCTTGCAGCGACATTGTTTTTCCTGGGGAAGACTGTGCCTGACTTATGTGATGTGTATGGAACTGGGAAGGAATACAGGTTCTTTTGTTTACCCTCTACCCTGTGTACCGATGCACGGATGATTATAATCTTCATGAGAAAATAAACAAGAAAGTATTATTCTTGGTGGAAAAGGCTCCGGAATATCAACTAAGCTAGCCAAAATTCCTCTTGAAGTGTGGACATGTCATCAGGATGTTACAGAAAAAAAAAATCATATTCCTGATGCCATCCATAAATGGGCTACCTGAGGCTGGATAGAGAAGGTGCCTGCCTTTTAGCATCAATGTTGTGAAAGGAAAGACAGCTAACAACAGAAGATATGGTGAGGCTGCCAACACAAGCACTATGTTTATCATTCCTGCCATACGTTTTGTCAGCATTTTTGCCTGCAGTTTGATTTCTGCAATTACAAAACAAGTCTAAACGCCTGAATAGGAGCATACTTAATGCAAGGCAGGCTTGTAGATGTCACTGTAAAAATAAGACAGACAGACAGCTGGCTTTATTCATCCTGTCTCCACTTCAAAAAAAAAAAGCAGAGCAATTTCAAGGTGCAATGTAAGAGGAGGAAGTGAAGGATGTCCCTATCACTGACCCACCCATCTCCCTTGCTTTTTATCACTGAGGAAGCAAAAAAGCTCTTTCACTGCTCTTTGCATCTGATATATGTTCTTAGAAAGGCTGAAGACCTGCAGGGATGAGATTGGTTTTCAAAAGAAGATGAAAAAATAACCTCTGCATAGAGAGATTTTGAAGGAATCCCCACCAGCTTATACTTTAAGGACTGTAAAAATGCATAAATATATTCCAAAGTGCATTTGAAATGCATAAATATTTAAGGAAATTATATTGTATATATTTGTATGAAGAACAGCATATGTTAAGGAGCTTTTCACATTCTTCCTATTAAATATATAAGGAGGTATCCAAACCATTTCTAATATTATCTGACAAGGTTAAACTTAATCTTCATGCCTGCTAGAATTGGAAAAATACAAATGTATAGTAAGTTGACATTCTGAGGTAAGAAAGCTTTAGAAAGCTTTCTGTATGCCTATCTCTAGTAGGCCACATTTTCCTACTACAAATGAAAACTTTAATGTTGCCAGCCAAGTCTCATTCCTTTTTCTGATAAGCTCTTCCTCAAATATGAATGTAGATTAATCCTCTTTTAATAAGCATTAACTCAGAAGAGATAATCAGCATATAAAAAATTTCATCAAATCTTCTGTCTACCATTGGATGATTCTGTCAAATAATTTATCCTCGTTTAACAGTTTCAGGAGTTGCGCATAAAATGTGTAGCATTCCATAATTCTCTATCTATTTTTAATTTGTTTTTGTTTACTCAGTTTCATGAAATCTTTAATCCCAAGGAGCGCTAGTCACTAAATAAGCGTACTTTCACTCAAAAGTGAAAATACATATTTACTTTCTTTACATGACTGATGGCCTAGACACTTGAAAACATCTGAGTATTCAAGTGAGTGGGTACTGGCACAACAATGAGTTTGAGGGCACAGGAAAGATAAGCAGATAAAAGAAATTTCTCTTATTTCTACAAATGGATTCCATCCCTTTCTTGTATAAGTCCTTATACCAAAACATGAAAAGAGAATTGGAACTTCCAGTACAAAATAAACAAATTCCGTTCTGTCACTGTAAGACGGGAATGAAACAATTCTTCTATTGTACGAGAAGTAGTCAGATATCTCTTTTGTGCCATCTATCTTTTCTTGTATCATGTAGAAACCCACAGTGTGTGTTTATATCCAGGCATTCTGAGGAAAGGGTAACCAGAAAAAATATAAAAAAACCAGTCCAGCAGTATTTTAGCTTTTACAGAAATTCACAAAAGTAAGACCAATCCACCCTTTATATCACAGAACAGATGACTGAGAAGGGGTAATATCTGTATTTAGTGTCTCTGTGCCGGATTTGGTTTTGCCGATAGTATGCCATGGTCCCGAAAATGTATACGTCTTGTACAGCTGCAGATGATGACACTACTACTTACCAGTAGTAATCTAACAAACATAGCCAAAAATCATATGTTTTGTAGTACTGATATTACTGAGAATCAATGCCTGGTGAGTCATGATGGGGGAAAGAGAAGTGGAGGAACAGTGATGTACAGAATTGTAGCTCAGTAACTACTGGAGTCACTTCAACTGAAAATAAGTGAAAAGATGTTTTTCAATATCACTTTATTTGTGAACATCTAAGCAATTAATCAGTGCTTATGAAAATGTTCACAAAGACAGAAAGCTTAATGAATTTAACTCAATCAATTATTCTTCTCTGGCACAAATCTTTACCAATTGCGTGACATTTGCTGTTTGCTCTTCTCCTACACAGAGTGTTACAGTAGTTTAACCACACAGCAGAAATTATACCTCTGAGGAGCGTAGTAAGAGAATACAAATAACAAATAGTCCTAGTGAATGACCCATAATCTGAAAATGACACGAAAGAACATTTTTTGCAAGTAATTATATAACTGTAGAATCCAGACTTTTAAACAACTATTTTTACTGTTTTAAGTTCTACACATATGCAAATACAACAGAATAAAACCAAAACAAAACAAAAAAAATTTACATCAGAAATAACTGAAAAAATAGGTTTTTTGGTTTGTGTCCAAAATAGAGTAAGTATATGAATATTCCACTAATACATTCAATTCTCTTTATTTCACAGTCAAATCTGCACATTCTGCAACTTTCTGAAGGAAGAATTTAAAGCAGATGTCTGAACAAAAAGTGTACACCTTCTAAGATCTGAGTATAGTAAGATAAATTCCTCTTAGTAAAACTTTATTGACAGCTGTCTCTAATAAGAGTCTGAAAGCTACATACCACTGTCTAAATATTTAGATCTGAAACCAAACTGTTTATGAATCATAATTTTGAAGGGAACAACAGTTGTGAGCGTCATCAAACCTCTACAAGCATAGACATGTTTGTCTAAATGATATTACCAATGGCAAATTCAAACATTAGAGAACTAATATGTTTCTGAAGGAACTCTGGGTATAAAGATAAAAAACATGGACTATGTTCTTTCATAAGAACAAATTTTTTTTTAAGTTAATGATTTTTTTTGGACTTGACTACTGGATGACTTAGGTTCTCAGTGCCTCCAGAAATGATTATAGGCCAGGAAATAGAACTATGTGCTGTTATAGTTCTAAGAAGTCCCTGAGATGTCAAAACTATTTCTCAAGAAGCAAATTTTTGGCAGTGCCTCTGAGATATCCTAGTTGCCCAGCACATGCGGATCAACTGCACTGAAACATGCACAGTCACTGTGGCTCTGGCACAACCCTGTGTCATGCCAATGTATCCTACAAAGACAATGGAAAACACTCACCACAGTTACAGACAGCTGGCAGTAGCATAATCACAGGAACCAAATACAAAGCGCGTTATTCAGTTTTGGGAAAAAGCCTACGTTGTGTCTCAAAGAAAAGCAAGTAAAGTATTTAGGGTAGGATGTGTTGTGCCACAACTTACACTGACTTGAACAAACCTGCCCAGAAGCCAGAGGACCGATTCCTGAGCCCCCAGAGCTTCTTCATGAGGGCCTTCTCCCTCACAATGTCACAGGCCCCTGGGGCAGACACCACCACCTTTGCTCACCTGCCTCGGCAGTCATCTGCTCTTTCCTGCTAAGCTAAACACTCAGGCTGTGGCTGAAGATAAGCAAGAGTGAGAAAGCAGCTAGCCGAGCACGAGGACTGGTTCAGCAGTGCAGTAGGAAGACTGGCCTCTATCACGTGAATGGTGGAGGGGACAAAAGAGACAGCTTTGATAAGTGCAACTGAGGGGCCAAGCTACATGCAAAAAGCTTTACAAACTTCTGCTGGAAAATGCTGAGATTTATCAGCCTTTTACACTGTAACACAGAGGTATAATTATTTTTGAGTTTTTGAATCTTGAGCTTAGGTATGAAAGCAGAAGCTAATTATTTGTATTAATTATTACTATTAATTGTATACTCTATTTTTCCTGGCTATTCATGTGTTGACTAAGCTGTTTGCAACCTGCTGTTTCAGCCACACTTCATTTATTCCTCACATATCTTTAATCATGCTTACCATAATGGTCTACCGTATGCTATGTTTATTAAAGATATGAAAACTAGGATATCAGCTTTGAATTGGGTAGGCAGAAGAAAAACAAATGCTTCAATTTCAAAAACACTGTAAAGGCAATGCATGCATAGGTTAATCACTAGATTGCTTGAAGATCTGAACCACATGGTAAGGCCAACATATACGCAACTAACAGCTGAAGTGGAAGAAAGTTCCATTTCTCTAGTTAGATCTTCAAAAATGTTCGAGGTACTTTTTTTGAGCTTTAAAATAAAAATTCAGTTATATACAACTAATGCTTGTTTATGTTAAGTTAGTTCAAGCATCCTGTCCTGCAAATTACTTTCAAAACTGCATTATTTCGAGAAGTTAGGTGAGTAAGAAGTATGCAGAATTATAATGTCAGAGACATTAATGGTGGCAGATTTTATGTTCCCCTGAAATCACTAGGAGAATGAATGCTACATTTTTAACACAGATAGGCAGCAGAAGTATTTCTCCTTGTATTTGCTTTTAATTCTGCATATCTCACATGTTCATAAACAGCTAATGTTTGCAATGACGTGTTGGTGAGGTAAGAGACAGACTAATGGACAGTACCTGCAGGGGTGAAGGTGAAGGACTGAACTGCAAAACAAGAAAGCAAACACATTGTGAGTTACACACCCTGATAATAAGAGTTAATTGCAGGGCACGAGTTTCTTCTGGAATTTATTCAGTTGTGGTTGAATATCATAAGCAGGACATAACAGTTGAGCTTAAAGCACTAACCAGCCAGCAGCCAATGAGAAATGATGGTTGGAAAGGTGAACAGCGAATGTTGACAGTCACATTTGAAGACTTTCTGTGTGGACATGCTGTTCTCCAAATTGTAAACATTAGGGTGAATTTTGAAGCATGATCTGTTACAAACTTTCCTTGCTGAAAGCATACACTATTTCATAATTCTGATGATGAGAATTCTGTGTCATGACACAATGTTCACATCACACTTAGATGCAGCAAACATCATGAGAAGGAGTGAGTTGTAGGAGACACACTGTTTATAATGACTATTATAATTATTTACAGCTATGCATTTTAAGGTATAAAAGACTTTGCTCTCAATCTTCCCCCCCCCTCCCAACATGCTAACTCACATACAGGGCTAATAATTCTGCTTTTAAAAAAAAGAGTAGTCTTAGCTTGTGTCCAAAGTTTATGTATAGGACTGTTTCCTAAGAGGAATAAGAGTACAGCTGTCTCTTAATATGAAAAATCTGGGGATCTAGACTGATACTTCATATAAACACATATGTAGGTGTGTGTGATACATGTTAGTTTCTCAATTAACACCACCCCACCTCTCAGAGAGTAAAAGTCATTGCTGTTAAAGGAAAGAAAAAACACCTTGGCAAAAAGCATAACCTATGAATGATACAGGGCACATGGTGATGCAAGGTGAGGTTCCACAGAAACTGAGTCAGCCCAAGAGTCACTGAAAGGGTCTCTCCTTGCTCTGCTTCCACTGCTTATCTGATTTCTTCTTGGGCTGCCTTTTTTCACTAAGCCAGTGGAAAACTAATCCAGCAGGAAGGATTGAAAAACAACACAGAATAGCTTCCTTCTGGTTTAGTGAGCCCAGACAGGATACTGAGGAGTCTGATGATGGCTAACACCAAGGTGAGGAGGCATAGGACTGTTTGGCTGCAAGCAGGGTATGAGTGTTGGGTTTTGGCAAGTTGTTAGAGATGCTCAGCCAGTTAGGGAACCTGTGATCTTGGGTTTGCAACTTGTAAATAGAAGAGTACTAGTGTAACTTTAGTGTGATATAATGTCAACATTAAATACACTGTGTCCTCAAGTGTGCAAATCTTGCTCAAAAAGGAAATGCTTTCTCTTTTAAAATGTTAGTAAGCACTACAAAACAACCTACCCCAACATTTGAAGAACAGGGTTTTTGTGTTAAATTAGGCAAGTGACCTATTTTATAGTAATTCACCTGAGTTCCTAAAAATCCATAAGAATCCTGAAGCACAGAATGATACACAAAACAAACAGGTTTGGGGAGGAAGAAAATATTTTCATTTGGCAGATGTATTTATTTTTCCAAATGTAGTTTTCAAAAACTAATTTGCAACTGTAGCAACACATTTGGTGCAAGAGGGATCACACTGTGAGGGCATTCCAAGGTGTTCTACCTCCAAGACAAAACTTTTTATGGCTTCTGCCACAGGTAAATTTTGACCACACTTTTCTGTCTAATACACCACTCTCTTCTCCAGCTATAGGCATGGAGTCGCTGATTAAGTACCTCCATTCATTCCCCATGCACATGGCTTCAAAGACATGGAAATGCATGAGAATGAAGAAGGAGAAGACCGAATACTCTTTCTAACATTCTTTGTGAGGTTTTAGTCCAATTCACACTTGAGCACATAAATGGAGCTGGACCACTAACAGAGTGCCTTCTGAGCAAAGAGCAAGAGGTACAGTTAATCCTCTTTGTACATTTTTATGCTAGATGTACTGGAGATGTAAAAATAAAGACTGTCTTATGATAATGATGGAATGTGGTACCGAGCAATGCACTTAAAGCTTCTCATACACCAGCATTTTCACAGCATACATTTAAAACAAGCATACAAAATTCACCCAGGCCACCTTTGCTGTAAGTTCAACATGTTTTTTAAGTAGGTTTAACAGCACCTATTCTCTTCATGATAGAACCTGCTGAGATGGTAATAAATAGTTACTGTTCTTACCAGCATAATTGCTGAGCCCCTTCCTCTTCTTTCTGCGCCAGTACAGCCAGATGCTGAAACCCATCAGAATTACCCAACATGCACCACCGATGCCAGCTATAAAGGCAGGTTGTTTGACAACATCAGTGATTTGCTCAGTTATGCTGTTGTTATTTTCAGTGATGACAACTTCATTACGACCTCCTGCACAAAAGAAATTTGACAGAACATTGTTATTATGGATTCTGTAATACAAACAGGAACAAAGTACTGCAAAAGAAAATTTTAAAAAAAGGGTAGTGCACCTCAAAAGAACTATCCACAGTAGGAGAGCTTTAATGAGTACCAATGCATACCTGAAAACCAGTGTTTCTAGAAAGTCCATCCACAATCCACTGCAATTTTGCAAACATATATTTGAAAAGATAGCTCTATAGCACTCTCCCAAGTAATCTAACAGATGATGGTCCAGGCCATTTTTTTTAACAATATACAAGTTTGTTGGTTTGTTTTTACATAATTATAGACAGAATACAATTATGAGAAAATGGATCATAGGAAACCAGTAAAAAAACCTCAAGCTCAAGCAATCAATAAATAGCTTTTTCCAAATGAGAAATCCAAATACAAAATGTGCTACAACTTCAAAAGACAGTTCCTTCTCTCATTGTTGTCAGCATGCCAGAAATTCTTACTTAACTCATTTGTTTTTGCTGCATACTAAAGTTTCCAGATTTAAATTAAAAAAAAAAAAAAAAAGTATTTTCAACTGGGGCAAAGATGCATTTTACAGCAATTATTTCATGGGGAAAACAATCCATACAAATCCTAAGTGCACCAGCTTTGACACAAAGCAGAAAATCATGTAGTTAACAGCAGGCTTTAAACAATCACAGCAACAAATGCTATTTTTTTTCACCTAGAAGAGGCATGACAAATTCTTAACATCAACCTGTAAGAAATAATTATGACATGGAATACCAATTGAAGTGGTATGCACCAAAATTACTATATAGGATCTTAAATTGTGTATATTAGATTAGAAACCTGTACATTTCAGCAGATGCTTCCATTGTCTTTTTTTCCCCTCTTTCTCTAAAAGGGAACTTTTCTAAAAGGAAAAGCTTGCTGTCTGGTTTGAAAACAAATGCTCACAAAAAAATGTGAATTGAAATTCAGGAAATGCTAAAGCACATATTTCTAGGGCCAGCACTTTTCTACTTCAAACCTTCCCTTGTCGAAAATGGTTAGTTTTAAAATTAAGAAATGCGGAACATATTTTTCTGCAAAACATATGAATATTGATTATAGGTACAGTTGATATAAACTGCAGTTCTGAAATTGGTGAAAGAATTATCCATCATTTCCGGTAAAAGCATTTATATACCTCAATCCTTGAAATGTTTATGCAGTATTATCAGATGCCTGTATGCATGCTGAAGAGCTGCAAGAGTAGCTACTCTACTGAGGCAAAGAAGATGCAAATACTATGATTCTCAATTATGAGAATCTATCTCACACACGTAAAGGTGGTAGAATATGGCAATAAAACACTGAAATGGTCATTCAGAGGAAATTATTAGAAGTATTGTAGCATTATGCCTTGCTGTGAAAATGTACATATTCCTCTTCTATAATTCAGCAATGGCTAAATTTACCGCTCACTTCTTTCAACAGAACGGCCCCTTGGTCAGCACACCAGCTTCAGCTTAAAGCAAACAAACAAGGTCGTTGGCTAAAGCAGATGCGAGAAGTCTGACACTTCCAGTTTTATCTCCATGGACACCTCTTTGCAGGAGACCCAGTCAAGTTGCGAAGGAGGATCCCTCCCAGAGGGCCCGTTGGGTGGAGCATGCCTTCCCTGCCCCAGCCTACCCCTCTACCACGGGGACCGGCTCTGCCCCAGCCAAGACGCAGCTTCAGGCCCTAGGCTGCATTCAGAGCTAGTCTGAGCTACTCAGGAAGAAATGCGATGCACTGCATTACATTGCTATCACACTGTTAATGATCTCGGTGATTTTATTAAGCTTTCTCTCTTTCAGCACCATGTCAATATTTAGTAACGATGACCGTCTGCTTTTGTGAACAGACTGCTGAAACTGTGCTAGAGCTTGGCTTGCTTTTAGCAGTTCTCTGCAAGAAACAGAACAGGTCACACAAACAAAATAGGTCCCACAGAAGGATGCGGACAGACTATGCCTGTTAATGTATAGAAAGGCAGTATGCCAGTACTGGTACCAGGCCTGATGGTTTCCAGTCCTGATGCAGTAAGCGAGAATAAAACTCAGTGAGCACCGTGACAAGGAAAAGAAGGGAGGTAGCAGTGGCTCCTTTATCAGATTTTCCCTTTTTGTTTCTGCCCATGGATCCAATCCATAGGTGCACCCCAGTGTTGAAAGAGGAAGTGCTGAGAGTAAAACTAATAGAAAGAGGCACTCTACGGCATGCTCTTCTAGGCATACAATTGATTTTCTAGTAGAAATCAGCATGGGAGCTGATGTTGCTCTAATTGCCATTAACTTTCAGTTAATTTCTGTGCCCTTTGGAGGAGAGGTAAAAGCAGCAGGATGGTGAGGAAACAGGTAATGGTGCTGCTTTGGAGGCAGTCATGCTGCCATGGAGAAGAGCAGGCAGGGAAGCGCTTCAGACACACTGGCTTTGGGAGCGGATGCTCCTGGACTCAAGAAAAGAACAACTACTTCCTGCTAAAGCCTCCAAAAAGTCCAAAGATCCCGTTTTCTTCTCTAAGGTCAGAAACCAGTCTTTTGAGAATGGAGGATGTGAGAACAAACTGCAGAGAGCCTGGGGAGAGCTTTCAGCAGACTTTACACTCTCCCTCACTTCTAGGGGAAGGTGCAATTTGTCTCCAAATTACCTTCTAAAGTTTGCAGTCTGGCTGTTTGCTCGGACCCTTCAGTGCCAAGGAATTACAACTGCAAAAGTAATAATTCATTTAAATGTCAAAATAACATATGCTTTGGGAATTTGATGACCGAAAAATAAATGGATACAGATGAATGGTACCCACTGATGTTTGATAAAATTAATATAGTTGTTGGGGTTTGGGGAAACAAACGGTATTAATTTTGTATTTTTTTATATTATTTTTAAGCAGAAGTAATAAATATGTCATCCAAGGTACCAATGTACTATTTCATATACTGCAGGTGTTTCTGTAACAATGCTGTCAGTTCAACTAATTAGAACATAGACAAGGGAAGTGTGCGACCTGTAACGCTCCATTGTTCCTGAAGACAAAAACATAATGAAATATAATGTCTTCCTCCCATTGGAGAGTAATGAAGAACAAAACTAATTTGTCGGACCAAAAATTAATTAGACACATCAGATTCGATTGTACCTATTACTGTGAAAGTTTGCAGCTGTTCCTCATATTATTATGCCAATGATGGAACATAAGAGTGAACAGGCCAACTGATGAAGAGAAATAATAGCTATACCATTAACCAATATTGCCATTATCTCCAATTTTATTTCTGGTTTTCCAAGTGAAATTTTTTAGCGTATCAATAGTGATCATAAAAATTTTATTCTGGATTCTCTTTGAGTCTTCCATAAAATTTTTCAACGTCCTGCTTGAAGTATGGGCACAGGATTCCTGTAACAGTGACACAATTTCTAACTGAAGAAATAATATACTTCCTACTGCTCCATATTCTCCTACGTTTACTTTCTGGATGGTCATGGGTCTGTTGTGTAGAATTGGTCTGGGAAGTCAGTAGTTGATTATCCACCATGAAAATCAGTTATTTTCAGAAAAAAACTTCTTCTTAGAAGAACATATCTTATATGTAAGGATAACGTCTTCCTTCTTTTTATAGACAGGACTCTGTATTTCATGACAATGAAAGTCATACTGTTTAGCAACATGGCTTAACTCTTCTGCATCACTGACCTGCTCTCTCCATAATTCAGTATTTCTGCAGTTGTTCATTCTGTTTGCAAGCTGTTAAGTAGCATAGCCAAGCACCAGGCCGTATAGGACTCCATTATAATACAATCGCTCCATAATGTTTTCCCATTCATGATGATGTTTTGAGGTTTATTCATTAGCTCATTTTCAATACATGTAATTATTTTTTAAAAATATACCTAAAAAATTAATTCCCTTATTTTATGTTCTTGATTCTTAGTCAAACATAGAGTGGTACCAACTCAAATTTTCCAGGAATGGTATCACTTAAACACTGTTACGTTTATCAAGCAAATTTATAGTCTGAGAAATAACTGCCAGCAATTCATAAGCAATAGAAAAATGGGACCTAAAGAAAAGGGTTGTACAAACCATACAAGTAATAACCACATCCAGCTTCAGGCTCCCAAAAGGGAAAACAGAAATGAGAACAGAAACACAACCCAAACAGAAAAGACTCTCCTTTACTTTTCACGCAAAGGACTCTTAAATGTGCAAAGATGCCACCAGACAGACTTGTTGAAGCAGACATTCTGGGATCATTTAAGGAACAAATATCACTGTAAGTTTAACAATGCAAAAATTAAGTCTCCAAATGCCAAATAACTTTTTTCTTTCTTTTGTACTTTATTTGCATCCTAACATCCCCTTCCTCCTTCCTGCAACACTACAGTTCTCTCCACATTTAACTCTCGATTATACTAGACATTTTTTGTAAGGAAAAAGGCAGGATGAAGGGCTGTAGCCAGATGCGGGGCTGAGCATTCTGGGAATCATCCAGCAAAACACTTTGGTGCAAGTTTAACTCACAACACATTAAGTGACACAAGGCTACGCACGTGCTTAAAATGCAATGCACTTAAGTGTTTTGCTGGAATGAGCCCCCTGTGTTTAGTGCATAGGTAGATGGACTCCCTAGTGAAATAAGAAAAAGAAGTCCTGCTTAAAGCAAATGCAATGACGGACTAGTCTCACAACATCAGTTATTTACACAGAGATCCAAAATTCAGGCCTATTAAATAGCAGGTTTCTTGCATTTTCAAAAATCAATTTCTTACTTTCAGTCCTAAAAAGCTTTTTTCCCCTCTTTTCTTTGGCATTTCTGTGGCTGCCACCTTCTAAAACCAGTGCTACCTTCACCTCCACTCTTATACATCCTTCTCCAGTGACAATATATTTAAAGCTGACATACCCCAATTTCTGTTTTGATGCATAAGGAACTTGAATATCATTAAACATTTAAGCAATGTTTAGGAGACAGCCTTTTCTAAAGGTCTACACATAACAGAATAGTCCATGTTTGGGATATTGTGTTCACAACATTTTCTAGATTAGATAGAAAATATTTAATAACAACAAAAGACCCATAAACAAACAAAAGCCCATTTAACTAATAACTGTATTAGATCATACAGATAAAAGCAACAAAATTCTGGTGTTACACACTCAAAAGAGGTGCTGCTCTGCACAGCTCAATTCAGTTTTGCTAAATATGGTTACTTCTCCTATTCTTACCCTTCTCATATTTTTCCTGACTTTATATTTTCTACTTGAGAAGAATTTCAGAAGAAACAGAATCTGTGTTTCCCTCAGGTCAGGAAATTAATTCAGCATGGAAACCACTACTAAGAAACAGTCCTTTCAAAGGCAGGGATGATAATACTACCTTTGCTCTCTATTTGGACTAGAGGCCACTTATTCTTTGACAGAGGAAGATCATCTGCTTGGGATGCTTGAGAAACACTGACTTCAAATGTTCAGAAAACTAACTGTAAATAGTGCCCTAGGCACCAACGGTATGAGTAAGGCAATATTACAGTCATCTGAGCAGGAGAAAAGGGAGCTCAAGCTGTTAGTTCCATAAATCTCTCAACCTGCAGAAGTGGTAAATTCATTTTAAAAAAAATTAAATCAGTTTCACTAGATAACCTGCATTTTCTCATATGTCTCAGGAACATAATTCCCTCCATTGGCTCTGAGAACTCTGCACAAAGAGGACACAACGTCAGCAGGCAGTGGGACGTTAAAAGCTAACTAAGTAGCTCTATTCAAATCTAGTCTTTTGCTCCATGGATTTTTATGCTTCCAGAAGTGATTTATGAAAGCATTTCTGAGAGTTGAAACAGGCAAAACAAAACAACAAAACAGACAATCACTTACCAATTATTATGGGTTGTGGCTCACTTTTTACTCCCACACCTGCACTGGTGCTTGCAGCAACTTCCACACGGTACTGAATACCTGGATACAGGCCACCTATTACTACAGACCGAATGGCTGCATCTACTGTTTTGTTGATATGAAATCGAGTCTCATTACCTAGGCACCAGATCTGGGACAAAAGTTCATGTGTTAAAAAATACGAAAATCTTCTTACTCAAACAATTGTGCATAGATATGACATATCAAGGTATTGCATAACAATCACTTATTTTGGACTTCTTAATAATGTTACTGTCCAGAAGTAGCTGGAATTGGGATGATTTAGTTTAGCAAGCTACCCCAGATTAGCACAGGACCAAGCTAGCTGCAAAGACTGCTTGCAAATACCTCTTTGGACTTCGGCTCTCCATGGAGTGCAAATTCTGCAGTTACACTTCTTAGAAGCACAGACCAGAATCATCCGAGTGAAAAAGAGGTGTTATACATTAATTGAAATCTTGTTCAGTAATGTGATTATCACCAAACCTTTCCTAAAAAACCCCCACATTTTTTTCATTCTTAATTTCCCGCTGAATAACAAAAGGACACGAAATAATACCAGCACAGGTTGAAACACTTCTTAAAGTACTAAAGAAACAATTTTCAAAATTCTTTCCAACTTCCTTTCACTGCACAACAGGGATACGTGCAAATTCTTAAATGGAAAAAGTACAAACTCACTTTTTACTGCTGCTTTTGTGATTACTTACATTGTTCAGGAATCCAGAGATCAGTTCCTGACTCAATTATTCTCTAATTAAACAGAAAAAACACTCTATAATCTGAATTGGCATTTTGTGATGAGAATGGTCTATGACTTCAGAGTGTTATGTCTCTCTCTTGCATTTTTCCATAGGCCTTTCCCAAGAAGCTTCAAAACTAAGACCTTTTAGGGATTCTTCTTCAGTTAATGTTATCTGCATATACTGCTTCTGTATTATTAAAGAAGCATTTACTACCACTCAAGAAAATCAATGCATAAAGATATCACATGTACACTACATAATTGTAATAGCAGAAGAAAGCAGTATTGTGGGAACCACTATCAGCAATCAACTGATGTGTCTGAGCAACAGCAATGCTCTCTTTACCCTTATTTTTGACCCTACTCAGTGTTTTATCACACCTTATGTTTTTTCTGCAAGACACTGAGGAAGATTTGGAGGGCAAAAGAAACTCTTGTTCTCCCAAGCTCAGGTAAATCTTATTTGCCAGCCAGAATGCATTAGGGTGAGAAACTATTGCATTCATTCTTTCACTCCTTGTCTGTCCTGATCTGAGGTTACAGCAGCTATGAGATGACCCTAATTAAAGGCATTTAATTCATAAATGAATTTACAGGCACTCTGATGCTTGAAGTGGAATCAAGAGATCTACATTCAATTTGTGAGAAAATGTACTGTGAAACCTCAGCAGCCGTTTTATACTTAAGAAAGTATTAAACTCTTTGCACTGCATTCACTGTAGCCAGCTCACTAATCAGGCAGCCACCTAATCTTACACAGAAGGGATGTAATAGGTAGTGACTCCAGCTGTTTGTATAAACAGCCTAGAGGTCTGAGCACTCACCTGGAACATGGCTTTTATTAACTATCAGCCCACTTTGTCTCATATCTACATATTTTTTTGGTTTAGGAGTGTGCTTTACTTATTTGCTTATAAGCCCTTGATGGTTAATATTGACTTACACTGGAGTCAGTATCAAGATTAATTAAGCCAAAAGATAATTATTAATTCATATGAAAATGAGATCAATAGAATACTGAGATTAATAAATCTTGATATTGACTAAAAGCAAAACAAAAGAAGTGCTATGCTAAACGTAAATATCGTAAGCATTTACGGCATCCCTCTGACCCAGCCATAAGCTGGAAGAGGTTGAACCATTAGCTGATTTAGAAATCAAGCATTTCTCCCTTCTTGATGCTGTGTTCCCTCAAGATACAGCAGGGGAAAAAAAAATCACATCTTTTTGTGTGAAATAAGCTGCATCCACCACTTCCACCCTTTGTTGGACTGTCAAGAAAGCTGCCCTGCTCTATTTCAATTAAAAATTTTACACTAGGTATACAAGTCAGCAACAGCAAAGTTATTTAACAGTGTGTTCCATGGTCACAAGCCTGTGACAATGCTGAACCTTGCCTGATCATTTTCTCCATAGTCCCTCACCCCAATAACACACTGCCCTTTTTCCGTGTTGTGAAAATATACTTGTGTAAAAGTGAGCTTACTGGGGAATTACAGACTACAACAAAATTTAAGAAGATATATAAGGAGGGGATACTTTTAGCCATCATAGCAATAAAGAAGGAGAAAACACAACCAATGCAGGCAACTCTCATATAACAAACTCTGGATATAGTAGTGGTGTTCAACCTGTTCCTTGGAGCAAACAACCTAGCACTTTAAGTTGTGAATCTTGACAGAGATAGTACCCAGAAGAAGTCTTGTATTCTCCCAGAGCCACAGTCCTTGACTTTGACCTTGAAGTGTTAGGATTAGCATTTTTGCAGGGGAAAGAAGACGTGTCTTTCCTGCCAGCTTTTCTCCCAGACTGAAGGCACTCTAAAACAGGGACTTCACTGCCTGTCTTGAGAGCGCAGAAGCTCTTAACAAAAAAAAACCCAAACCCTTCTCATTCCACAGCAGGGAAAAGCAAGAAAGAGAAGCACTGTAAACTAGGAGGCAATTACAGCTCTCTTCCAGATCTAGCTCATGGTATTTTTGCTTTTACTATAACAGTCGTACTACTTTAAAAAAAAAATTACAAACAATTCTACAAGCAGTTGGTCCTCCTTCTCCGTATAATTATATGGGCAGCTGTAAATGTTGTCAGAATCTAAATCCATAAACAGCGCTATTGTTCTGTAATTCAAGCAGGCTGTTTCCTTAAACACACAACTGTCCCATTAGACATCATTTCTACCTTATACTCCTGGATGACTCCATTTTGGTGATCTGGAGGGGGAGGATCCCAGGAGATGCTGATGCTTGTGCTGTTGTGGTTTCCAACTGTCAGGACAGTAACAGACTGAGGAGGGGCACTTGGAGCTACACCAAGGAGAGGTAACAAATAGAAGCAAGATGTTAATCCATTTGCTAGAGCATGAATTTTGCTGAAACAGTGTAAGAGCAATCAGACAGTATACAAAGTTCACACTCCCTGCAGGCCTAGGTATGCACATTTTATTAGGCACTGACAATTTTGAAAAATGCTTTTCTGAAGAGAAGCATAGTGCTGAATGACAATGTGGAATTGTGGCAATGGAGAATCAATACAAATCACTCCTCATTTATTTATATTTAGCATTTCTTAAGTTTGCATTGGAATTATTCTCATGCTTGCATTTGTTTTCCATAATATGCACAGATAGCTATGGATATATCAACCAAGTCATAATGTGAGGCTGCTTCACCTGGCCTGAAAAGTGTTTTGATTCTTGTTTCCCCACATGGTCTAATAATAATGTGAGCAGCAGACATTTAAGGATCTTTTTTTGTTTCCCATTTATTCTCCAGGAAGACATTAACTTAACAGGTTTAAACATAAAACCTTGCAACTCCTGGGTGGAAAAGGGTTAGAGTATTCAGGGCTTTACATCAAATGCCAGTGAATAGCAGAGGTGCTAAGTTAGGTCAGATATATACTTATGTCCTCTTTTCCCTAGGCAAATTGCTTTCTCTTCAGAGTCTTGTTCAGTTCAACCATTCACAGCTGTTTGGTTGGTCACTGCATATCAAGGGCATATCTACAAGCCAATTGCTTGCCAGCCCAGCTACATTGGCTAGAAGCGTGAAGAAAAAAAATCATAGCTGTTAGTGATCAGAGCTATGCTGGCAAAGCCCCTCTTGCAACTACACCAGCAGCAGGGTGCTTTTGTTGGCTCAGGACATGTTGTTTGGTAAGCGGCGCAGCAGCTCTGCTAAAGAAAAGTCCCCTCTGTGGGCAGCTGCTGCATCTCCACGCAGGGGATCTCCCACCATAGCTATAGCTGCCACGGCAGAGGGCTGTGGCATATGTCCTTCCTCAGCCACTTAGAATTTCTTGCGGTGTCCCCATCCCCCCCCTTAACTTCTAGGCAAGTGTTGAAACTCCACCGCAGTGGCAAGCTAAGTCACCAAAGTCGGTTGCATTATGTTAAGGTATAGCCTGGGGGCTAGGAAAGTGTGAACTAATACAGCGAGCATATAGTGAGAACGTCTCTAGGACAATTTTCCAATTCCCAGAAGCCTGCTGGTTAGACACTTTTGGTTCCTGGGCAATGACTTTGTGTTTAATAATTCCTTATGGAATTTTTCTTCCACGTATTTGTCATTGCCTTTAGTATGATCTCAAAACGTTTAATATGAAATATGGAAGCTGATTTTGAAGACTTATAGTAGACCTTGTACCAGAACCTAAAATACGTATCACTCCCCCTGGCCCAATATCAAATCTAGATAGCCCTCTGGTTTTGGGCATCTCATATCATGTGTCACAGCTTCTTGACTGCAGTCCCCTGGTCTAGAGTATTCCTATCTCGAGAGGACTCCTTCACTGCTAAGCTCTCTGGCAACAGGGCTCTAGTCTTACTTTAACAGATATTCCTGACTACATGGATATCCTTGGACCACACTTCTCAAAAGCAAAGAGCCACTGGTGTCTTTTTGTTAAAGTCTGGCAGGTTTAACACAACGAAACACAGCCACGGATATCAGGATTATTCAAGTCTCCTGAGTCAACTCGGATTTCCTTATTGCTCCCGTGGCCTCTTTGAGGCTGGCTATGTTCCCACTTTGGATGCTCCTCAGCACTTGACCTGGCACAGGCTCAAGAAGCTGAGCTCAAATCCTTACCCTGATAACCCTGGAGAGTTGGAGTAGCCTGCTGCAGGAATCACACAACTTAAACCCAGGGTATCAGAGGTGGGGACAAGGGACCATACAAGATGACATCAGAAAAAAGTATTTTAGAGGAAAAATGACACATGTATTACTGTCCTGTGAAGCTGCACATTTTGGCAACTAAATTTTCAGATACTGGATCAGCTGCACAGCAAACAGTGCTTGGCAGAGTGCTCGTGACCTTGAATGACACAGAGAAACAGTGTACTGGAGGGGAGAAACAGAGCTGTATTGTGGGCAATTTGACTCTTAGCCAGCTCAAGTGAAGCAAGGAAAGGTGGCCTTGGGCTACTCCTTGCAATCGTGCAAAGCATAAAATTGGTGAAGTTAATAGTTGCATTGTGTATTTTATGGTGAGTGAAATAATTTGCCACACAGTAAAAAAATTAGCATTTTATAAGTCTTCAAGTTATTCAATAACAGCAAAACCATGAATAAATGTATGTGTGCGATATTAATTAGAACAACATTTTACACAAAAATAATAATCATTAAAATGGCTAAGCTTAGCACTGTATAACTTTTTTTTTTTCAAGTACAATGGAACAACTTGCTGAAATGTATTTACTTTCATCCTCAAACACAAAGCCATTCAGAAATACAATTTCTTATATACACGTACCTGGAAACACAGAAAGAAGAGAGTAAATGTTAAAGAAATGTAAAATGAATACCGTACTCTGACATTTAAAGACAAACATAGTGTATTCATTTGTCTTTGCATTTAAACTGCATGAATATTCTAGTTAATATTCTACCAGTGTGCGTCTTTTCTTTGAAGATATATGGTAAGTTTGAAGCAAAATTAAAATTGCAGCTGATGAATGCAGCTGTAAGTGTCATTTTAAGAGCTGCACCAAAGCAAGAAGGAATTGACAGACAGCAGCTGATAAAAACTAAGGGGACTTCCATTACCGACTGTCATATTTTTGTGGTCACAAACAATATGCAGAACAAATACTACTCCACAAAGTTATTCCGGAAGAGACTTAAAACCATGGATGTAATTGAAAAAAAAAAAAAAATCTATCTTTAGAGCAAATGTGAAAGAAACAGTGAAAATTATAAAACAAAATATTTTATTTAGCTCCTTACTGCATGTGTATACACCTATATGTATATAACAGTTCTGCTTCCTCTCTCTGATAATATCACTCTGTAAGCTGGCACCATGATATAAATTAAGCCACTCGTCTGACACTGCTGCAGTTATTAAATAGACCACATCGAAAAATAACATTTTTAAAACCGTTTTCTCATTTCCCTTGCTGCTGGCTTGTGGAGAACACCTTGCCTGCTTCTTGACAGGTCAATTATTCCAGTGCTCAGCTTCTTCTTACAGATATGAAAGAACCCAAATCGCTGCTCATCTTTTCCAGGCGCAGCCAAACAGAATTCCATTTGTTACCTTCACAAGGCCAAAGAGGCAGGAGATGGATGGATACTGAACTGTGACAAATGTCTGATCTAGAGGAAAAGTCTAACTGCGGCAAAATTGATTTTTGGAGGTAGGCCTCAGAAGTAACATTGCATGTAAAATTCAATCCAGCAGAAAGCTGCCACTACCTTTTGGTCGTACTCAGCCTTTACCAGGGCTATTTGTTTTGGTGTCGGAAAAAACTTCCAATGCACGTATCACTCTTCCAAATTATTTTCTAAAAATAGTATAGCTGACATTTTTTAAAAGTCAAGTCTAAAAAAGCTCATTTTTGAAATGGAATCACAGGCAATACAGCAAGTGAGATACCTTTAAATAGAATGCCATCTTTCTTCATTGGATGAGAAGCAAACCACTGTCATTAAAGACTTAGTTGATGTTATTTTTGAAATATATGAACACCAATATAATTACAAAGATAATGTGAGGAAATAAAGGAAATATCTGTAGAACTGTATCTACTGGATGTCTTAATTTTCTCGTGGAAGTACTTAACTCTATCATCTAAGCAAGAGGAAGAATTATTTACAGGGGCTGACATTTGGTGATAATACTACATGTTATAGGCTGATGTTTTTTTGAGAGAGATACTTGCCAACAGATTCCTTAAAGGTTATATTAATCTACAAAGCAAATCCTAGGCTGAGAGTTATATGTATCTGTAGGGAAGAAAAGTTTTTTAAATCTACACTATGTGGAAAGTTATTCCACATGAACAAAGTGGCCTTTAAAGTAGAAAATCACCTGACAGGCTCTGCTGGGAGCTGAGGTTTATAAAAGAAAATATCATTCCTCAAGTATTTTATAGAAATAGACAGGAGGTAAAAATCATCTCTGTTTTTCAGTAGTTCTTAATTTACCTTTACCAAGAGATAGTTAGATGAACTAAATAAACAACAAAAATCAATTGAAATTGGACCAGAAGAAAATCTGCTAGTGAGGGGACAAAATCCAACATTTTAACTCTAGAAAAGCAACTTCACCTGTAGAAAGCTTTTTTCAATTTTCTTTTTTTTTTTTAAAGCTTTGTTCAGACTGCTGCAAAGATATTCTTTACCAACTAATTTAGGCTTTATCATTTGAACAAAGAAATGGGAACCATAAAGTCCCAAATTCTAAATCAGTCTTGAACAATGACTTCCTACACGCTCTTCAACATATTGCAGGACACTGAATTTCCTCATCTATAAAGTAGCAATGACAACCAAGTTATCTTCAGGATTACTTACTTCTTGGGCAATAATCACAACAAATCAAAGAGAAAAGTGAGTAATAAGCGAGTTTGTTCTAGAATTAAAAAGTACTTGGCAATCAGCACTAAATTAAACCTCAGGAGACTACTGTAAATGATTAAAATGCATCTTCAATAGGAAGGAAAGAGTGCACTCAAAACCCATCGAAACCATATGAGCATTTTGGAACTTCACCAGTAGTTCTCTCCCTTGCTTTGAAAGAAATCAATGAAAGAGACAGAAGATGAACCCTCATTGTTATGATCATCCCTCTAATTTTACAGGACAGATTCTCCAGGCAAAGGTTGCATTAGATGGGTAGAAAGATAGGGGGTTTGTACATTTCTAAGAGAAAAAGATAAAATTTATTTATATCTCACCTCACTCTCTTTACTTTTCAATACAAAAGCAGTCCTGGAGTGCACATGTTTTACCAAAACTGCATACCATGCTACATGCTACAGATATAAATGCTTGTGCATTTCAGCAGTGTAAACTGTTCACTATGTCTGCATCCTGCATGTTTCACAGAGGCTTGAAAGGTACTTAAGGGAATCCTCTGAAGGACTAAATAAGGCAGTTTCATGAATGGTGTGCTAACAGAAACAATAAAGTGGTATACCCTCGAGAATGAAGTTCCTTCAGACTAGTTGTATATCTGTCCTTCACTAGTCCTCACTTCCCAACCAAACTGTTCATCTACATTTTTACCCATTCAGAAAGATGTGTGTAATATCAAACACTCACCTATAAAAGGTTTCATTTATTAATTTTATTTTCAAAGTGCAAACAAAAGTCTTTTATTGCAGCAACACTGGTTATGAAAGAACGGCTGCAGTGCACACTTTTAGGAAGACCCAAACCCACCTGTACATTAGAAGGATGTATCAGCCGGAATAATACAGGACTGGCCCAGTGCTTTCTCATGGAACACTTACAGCACAAAACTGAATATTATATTGAATTCTAATGCCAACCCTATACCTAACAAACAGAAATCACATGGAAGAAATGGAGCTGAACATACTCATACACACAATAACCAAAATGGTCACTTGATTTCACCTTCAGTGAAACAGGTATGGGAAACTGTTGCTTTTCTGACCATTTTACTAACCTTCCTCTGTGGTACGAGCAGACTTTGATTCACTGTCCATTCCTTGGAATTCATTGAAATAAGGGCGAACCTTAATTTCGTAAGTGACCCCCTTTTTCAAGCTGACGAGGACAGCACTGCGCTCAGTTGGGACTTTGACCTCCAAATTCTGCCATACAGCGGGAGAAGGTAGGCCAGATGTTTGGCGATACATGACTCGGTAGCCCTGAATAAACTGGGATTGGCGGTCAACCTAGAAATGGTATTAAATAATACGTCAATAAAAATATTAAAGTAATGAAACTGTATAAAAAGAAAATAAAACATCTGCCTAGAATACTTTTGTCCTCATGAAAAAGAGAAAATTAACAGTTAAAATGCTGAATTTAAAAAGCAAACTGCCTTCTTGTAAGTCACTGTTGATTAATTGTCTATAAAGAACATTTTTCTCACTTTACTTGTTATAGAATATTTCCTTCTATTTTACTTTCTCCAGCTCTATATATCATGACAAATACCACCTTAAATCATAAAACAAGTTCCCACCCCTGCAATACATCATGAAAACAGAACTTTGGCATAATGCTTACTGCATGTAAACTTATTAAGCACATCTTGGCTACTGATGTGCTGAAATATGAGAAGAAAAGAAAAAAAAGTTCTTTTCAGAAAAGGACAAGTCTTTGAAGATACCCTACATGCTTTCACTTAGTCCGTTACTTGGCTCACAGCTCATCTTTTCATGAGATGCTCAGGAAAGTAAAATAAACATAAGACAGATGCAGAGAAAACAACTTCCAAGGACATGTGCTGTTTCTTGTGTTCACCGTCTAAGCAGTCTCTTTGCATCCTGGGGTTGTGACGCTCTCAGGCCATCAGATGGAGATGGAATGTTGGTTTTGGTTTATATTTTATATATCGCTGGGCAAGCACAATTCATGATTGGACCATACATAGAAGTTTAACAATTCTAACTTAACATAATTATAAATAGGATTTTTATTTGAAGGAAAAACTTAAAATGTGTTTTATCTTGGAGAGGTTGCATGCATTTTTTTCTCTGGGGGAAAAAAAAGGGCACAAAATAATGACTCAAGCTATTATGATGCTTGCATGAATTTTGCCTGAAAAAAACAGCCAAAACAATTTGATGGATAAAAGCAAACCAAGCCCAGCTGCTTCTGTAGCCATCAAATAAAGAGCCAAAGAAAGTGCAGCACAAATAACAAGACTATACAACTAGCTTTTTGGTAAATCTCTGGGTTATAAGTAAGATTCAACAAGTAGGGCTTCTTTTCTGTTCTTGACAATTTGCTAGCTCAAAGGTATTTCAGAATTAGAGATACATTAGTTTGACTTCTCTTAAGAATAAATGAATTTAAGGCTGAAAACGCAAACCAGGTTCTATCATGCTTCTCCTATAATCTTGTTACAGTTTATTGAGGCGTTCAGAGGGGACACAGATTCTTGGACATTAAAAAGCTGGGCAAGCAAGAAGAAAACTTTATTTATGAGAGCAAAGCAGAAATGTCTTTCATCAAAACTGTCACTGCTAAAAACCTTGCAACATATGTTACAACCACATTAAGCTTGCATTTTATAAACTTCTCTACATTCACTTTAAGTGAATTTATGCACTGAAAGAGGGATATAACTCACAATAATAGCTTGTTAATACTGAAAGAATCAAGCTGTGTTTTTAAGAAGAACATTAAGCAGCTGTTTCCAGATGAAGGGAGTCTGTAAATCAGAGTAAATTGTTTTTATCCATGTTTGACTTTGATTAACTAAATGTTTTACGGACATAAAGACTTTATGAACCTCATGTTTGCTACAAAATTCAGCATGAATAACACTTTCATGCATTTTGTAATACAGATTCTCAACGTAAATTACAATATAAGGCTATGAAGTTTAATAATCAAACACTGAGTTTGATTCTTGCTAAACTTCTGAGTTAGAAGCTACACTGAAGGATGGCATAACTTTGTTAGAACTTTCCATTTTGTCTTTGCTGTGCTTTTAAGCTCTATTGACTGCTGCCTAGTGGAGAACATCTGAAAATTCAGAATTGACTAGGTTGAACAGTAACAGTGCGTTGCTACAAAACTACCAGTACGGAAACTTTTGTACGGCATGGTACAAACACAAATGCACCCACCAACTCACTGAGAAGAACTGGACCCCTATAGCATACCTATAGTATACTAATTTTGAGTCCATCACACTTTCATATCTACTTACATATAGATAATGCACAAATTATTCATACACGTCTTTTAGTCCTAGACTTCTAAGTTCCTAACCTAAAAGACTAAACAATACAAGGAATATAAAACCAGAACGCAGTAGTACAACAAGGTTGTCATGTATATGGGTGCTATAAACTAGCTTGATTTGGGGCTCACTCAAGTTTTACAGAGCTTTCAATTAGAAGTTTGATTACCACAGGGCTGAGTGATCTGCCGAAATTCCAGATTATTGACAGTGATTCTATTGTTCAGAGTCTGGGAGGGTACTTACAAAAGAAAACACTATGCATTTTTAATGTTTTCTACAAACATCCAGTTGCATTCAGTATCAAGGAAAGGATACAAAGCTTTCTCTCACACCCAGTTAAAGCTAGTTTGAATGAACAGGGCCTTTCCTATGGTCAAAATGTTGGTAAAATACTCAGAGGGCTCTTCACTTATTGAGAAAGGTGGATTTTTTGTTTTGGTTGGAGTTTTCCAATTAGTAAAAATTACTCTTGGACAATTAACATGGATTAACCAGAGATATTTGTAGGTATAGGACAGGTGTATTTCACATCTACATTCAAACACACATATATGTGTGTACATGTATATGTATGTATACACATATACATACATATGTGTATATGTCTATATATATACATGCACACACAGTCTTACATAAAATATAAAGCCTGTGACTTGTTTCCTCCATTTGTTATGTGGTAATTACATGTCCCACCAACAGCAGGCCACTAAAAATATGCTTAGCATTAAAGAACGGCATTCAGCTGTGCTAAGCATCAAACAACTCTATAGGTTTGGTATATGTTCACACATAGGCAGAGTTGAAGAAACACGGACCGTGATTTGATGAAAGAATGTAATTATTTCGAGGTATTCTCCTTTCTCTTTTGTACATGGTTGCCACTTATACAAAGTACTTAGCATTATTACAGAGATTGCAGGAACTCTGCACTGAATACTGGGATCAGAGAATGTTTCTAGACTTCCTGTGACACGCTTAACTACTCTTGAATTTGTACAAGCAGCAGTGACATCCACTCAGAAGAGCTGCAACAGTTGCTGAGAAAGATACACTTTCTCCCTCAAAAGACAGCAGAAAATGCAGATGATCCTTTAAAAGAGTGAAGAGAGCAATTACTGGGTAGGTTCTGCTCAGCACTGACCTAATGCTTTAAGAAGACCTACAAGCATAATTGGTCCTGCACGCTCCTTCTCATGCTTTTTTATGATGAATACAATAATGCAGGAGGTATCTACAAAACTGATGATAGCTCTCTGTTTCTCAGGACAGGAAACTCATTTCCCCTGCATGTTCAAATCTGCGTGTACTGCAGCTGAACGCAAAACAGGTTCAATGGCTATTAGATCATTCAGTTAGGCTATTAGGTTCTTAAAAACACGGCAAGAAACTCAGAATGCAGCTTATGCTGCAAACATAGGCTCCTTTCAGGCAAACCTGTTAATCTGCACCCTAAACACATTTTGCAATATGCTCTGTAGTATGTAAATTTCTACCCCAAAATATCCTGAGGAACACTCTGCTCCCACATCAATACCCACAGCAATTCTCCATCTAGGCAGAATACCTTGCACACTGTGCTAAACTCAGTAGTACAGACTCACAGTAATCTCTGGAAATTCAAACAGCACTAGCATTTATCTATTCTACAGGAACAAAACAAAAGGTGACAATACACTGGAAGACTGTCTAAAGGACTTGACTCTTGAAGCTTCCAGTGCGGTACATTTATTTGAAATCAATGTCAAATTAAAAGACAGAGGTAAATAAATTATCCTTCTGCCTTGTAGGCTCCTAGAAGGCAGTCGGGATTTCAAAGCAACAATTCCTTTGCCATACTGAAGAACTGACTTTTATTCCTGCTTGTGCCACAGGGCTCCTTTATAATGCTAGGAAACTTTTCACATTTGGCCACTAATGAAGCTCTCCATTTAATGCTGAATGAGGCTAGAAGTGCTGAACTATAGTTGAGCTCGGCTAAAAACATGCTTGGAGTACACCATATGCTGTTGCAATGCAAAATGTTTTGATAAAAGTAAAAATAAATTAGGCCCAAGGTTTAAAATTAGCCACTGGATAACAGCGGGCATATCTGATTCTGTAAATCTCATCAGTTACAAATATCTCTGTACCTCACCTCTCTGTGTCTAAAGTTAGGATAATGACACATTTTTATCATTGTGATGTTAAATTCAGTATTATTTGTGAAGCACCCAAACGTTACAGTTGAGAGCATGACAGATAAGCAAGCGAGACAAACTAATAATTTTTATTCAATGCAAGGTTTCAATAGTATGAATTTAATAAGACCTGGCACCACACAGCAAATAAAGAAGATAAAAAGAAATGTTGAATAGCTCCATGAAGAAGAGATCCTGTGTGTGACCAGGTAATTACAGCTACACTTTAATACCTATGCACAAGAGGAATAAATTTAAGTGACAGTGAAAACCTAACTTCGGACATTCCTCTTCTTTTTTTTAACACTTACTTTGTAAGCCTGACCTTCTTTCAAAACAGACAAAATATGTGTGTATATGTATGTGTATATTTTAAAATTGCAACACAGTAGCAGAGAACTATTTCTGAAATTTTAAACTCAAATTTGAAAAAAAAAAAAAAAAAGAAAGCAAAACCAAAACAATCTCAGAAAGAAGGGAGAAACTGGTGTTAATTTGCTGGGAGCCAGGATGCCAGCAACTCAGTAATCAAGGATGCTGCTCCTTGGCATTCACTCTTTGAATTGCAGAAAGTCAACACAAAGAGTCTTACGACTCTCATGGCACTTCCGTCCTTTTGTATGATAGCTACACTATCTAACCATGTTATATTAACAGTGTGGACTTTATTCTCTGGATAGAGTGGCTTTTTTCCTAGTGAATATGGTTAATTAATTGGGTTTGTTCTGGTTGCTGGAAAGTTTCTAATTAGCTGTTCCGGAGATTTTTTTTGTGTCTGTCTTCCCTTGGGCAATTCTGAAACGTCTCTATAGAGGCCTCTATGCTTGTCAGGTGGCATAGGGTCACTGCTTTGAGGGATCTTCCCAATGAGCTGATATCCATAGCATGCCTAACAATCTACCTTTACCTTACTATGTTTTCTTCACTCATTACTTGTTCAGTAGGGGCATCAAGAGACTCTTTTAGATAAATTTATATAGATATACACACATGCACACACATACACACCCATACATATATATACACACACACACACACATGCAAATACATATATATTTTTCAATATAGTATAATGAATAACATTGGTTACATTGCATAAAACTCAATACTGTTTATACTGGGGCTTCCTTCTGCAGCATATGCTAAAGCAAGGGCAAGCCTGTGAAACTGTGTTTCTGATAGCTGCCACACCCAAGAAAGGACTTGAAGGAGCACCACGTGGATGTGATCCACGTTTACAATTACTGTCTGCTAACATCCAAAGTTTCTAAACTACTGACCCATCAGCTTGGGCAAATGTCTGCTAGGGCAAAAGGGTTTGCACAAAGGTTAGTCAGCCGGTCCTGGAGTTATCTAGCTGAAACGGACAGCATTTTTAGAAAGGCAAGCTGTGTGTTGACATCATCAATGGCAAAATGCAATGACACATTTTCTAAATAATCCTTTAAGAAAGACAAATTTCTGGGTTTCTCTATTTATTCTAATTTGTTCCCTCACCGTTGAAGTCTGTCAGAACAAGGATGGTGCATAAGCCCCTGTAAATATGGCTGAGTTGTGCAAAAACAACAGTAATCCTTAGAATACACAATCTATCACCACACTCTTCTCCTGTTTTATAATCCCCTGTACACATCAACCTCTTAGCAATATTGCATGTAGAAGAAAAAAACTGAGTATTGTGAATAGCCCTTTAGCAGAATTCATCCTGTATAATACAACCATTTCCATGACGTGCAGTGCAGTACTACTTCTCTCACTCTTCCACCAATGGCTCTCCTTCCTATGGGGCAAATGCCTGAAGAGCAAAGCACTCTTTCCTGGTGTGCAGCACCCTGGGAACTCTCTCCTTCTAGTTAAAAATCTTTTCCTTCAAGCCTCAGGAAGGGAAACATAGCATTTTGAAAGCCAAACACTGTATCAGAAATTCTACCCAGTAGTTTGACCCCTCAGATAGAAATGTAGTTAAGTACTGCCAAAAAGATTCTGGTCTTCTATAATGAAAGGATATCCACTGATTGCGGGTAAAGCTTATGCTAAAAACCCAGATGCCACACAGTGGATCAGGCATCAGTACCTCGTGCTTCTGACTTCACTGCAAGTGCCCTATAGGAAAGCTATTTTTGCATTTTAGGGTCACCAAATAATAGGGTATTGTCAGAGGTCCCTATGCCTTGAAGTGGAAAGTGCTTTTTCATACAGCAATTTCACGTTGATATTTAACTTTGATTATTTTTTGACATGCACAGTAATGAGTCCACAGATCAATTATCCTTTAGATTATGGTGTTAAGCATATTCATTTTTATAATATTTTTCTAGTCAGACAGCTAGCTCGCTTTGAGCTGAACACTGAAGACTTTGAACCTGCCTGACTTGAAAGAGAAAATAAAAAGATCATTTCATTACCACATATATATGCCTGTTTAATGCTAGTTTATCAGAGCACTCACATTGGGGCCAAGACTGGAGCTTTTCAGGGTAGTAAAAAACTGCAGGGATAAAAAGGCAAATTTAAAGTACTGTTAAGGTAATTATAAGAGAAGCCTTACCGTCCAAGTGACTTGAACCGTTGTGGGTGTCAGCACAACAGGATTATGCAGTCGTACAATGACATCTCCCAGTTCTTTCTGGACTTGCCTGTGATCTACACCTTGTGCTGGTGGGCTGATATCTGCCAGGCCAGGCACACACATGAAAGTGTTATTTTAATGAGAAAAGTTTTATATGGCATCAATAAGAATGACTGAAGAGCTTAATGACCTGATTTAAACACCCTTTACAGTACTGTTTTTAAAACAATAGAGTACCAAGGTTTAAATATGAGCTCCAAAGTATATCAAGTAATGCAAGCAAACCATTCACCTTTAGCTGCTTAGGAAATAATGAAATATAAAGATTTTAAAATAAGTATTCAGACTCGATGGCAAAGTTTTCTCAGATCTGGTAAGTGATGACAGACATGCAATATTCACTATTTCCAAAATACTCAGATAATAATATCGTTGTCCAGAGGTCTGGAACCAAATTGGTTAGTATAATTGAAGAAGATGAACAGTTTTGGGGTTTTTTTATTTTCTTAGAGCATACATGACATTGCCATTATATGTTTCCAAACTTTCACTAAGCTTCCCATTCCCACATAACATGCACACAAGAAACCAAACACTAAAAATAACATTTTCTTCTGCAAAGCAAATTTTCCCTTTACAGATAGAGATAATGAAATCTAGTGAAAATATGAAAAAAGAATTTATTTATGAAGCCAAACCAATTCTGATCTAATAAAAGGCCAACAAAAATTTTCTCTTCAGGATCATGTCAAAGATTCCTTCAAAGTGTGTGGGGAAATTATTTCTTCTAGTCAAAATCTGAAGGAATTTGATCACTTAATATACATCTATGGAAAACTGTGACTCCATCTCTGGCACCAATTGTGGCCCTAGCATCTAGTCCTTAGGGACCACATTTGGTTTGTGCCATTGTGTTAAACTGAATGAAGCTGTACTACCTTTGCTAAATAGGAACTGAAAATACAAAATATGTGTCAGAAAATGGAGAAGATGTGCAATGTGTCTTTTTAGTGATAGTTCCTGGAAATCATCATTTTCTGCTACATTGCGCCAAAAGCAGAATGTTGGGCTACAGCTATCACCTAGCTAATATATCACTATAGCACATCCCTTCCCTTCAACTTAGACAGAAATGAAAGTACTTTCTAGGAGCCAGTGAAGTCTGGATCCTTTCAATGGATCCTTCAAGGATCTTACAATGCTGTTCTTGGTCAACAGTTACAGATGCCCTTACTATGTCAGTTGTCTATGTGGATTACATAATGCTTGTTAGAAATACATATACTGATTATTTCTGCTGGAATTTGCTTGTAATTTTTCCAGAAGAGGTGATTTGGAACACAAGCACAGGTTATATCCAAAAAGGACTGATACATTATGGTCATGCCTGTCTAAGACATCTGTGAATTCTGCTTGGTTTTCCCATGGGATTCACTAGCAAAAGACACTTTCCTTCTTTCTGGATCAACATCATGTCCTTTGGAAGAGAATACATACATAAAAGGGTTTTTTTCCCCTCTGATGGTCTGTGGCAGGCACACCCACCCCGACAGGAAACGAAACTTCTCCGGGCAGGGAGAGAGGAAAAAAACCCCAAACCCTAGAGGCCGCGGGTTAAAAGCCAAACTGACCAATCCAACACACGTCAAGTACCTGGAAGTGTTGACCTTTTGGCCAATGGGGATTAAAATGACCACAGATCAGATTCAACAAGGGTATAAATGGGGTCCCACCGGAGGACATTTTGAGTCAGTCCTCCTCGGAGCAGTGAGTCTGCAGTCGGGGGCTCCCCCCTTGGGTGGGGACGCTGCCCTAGGTAACTCCTGCAGGTTGAGAGCCCTCATCTTTTAGGTGAGTGATATGCACATTTTGAGTTGTCATTTCTAAACTTTAAAAATTCTTAAGTCGGCTGTGTAGTACTAATTCCCCTTACATCATTGAACCTGTGGTTCACAAATGTTATTGGCGTTCTAACTAACTTTTTTACTGAAGAATAAATCTGAGTTTTAACACCTGTTGGATTTCATTGTGTGAGCCTCTGTAACATGGTCTTAGATATGGGAGTGTGCAGCATGTGATTTCTTTTTATTTTCTAAATATTATTAAGAAGAAATAATAGTGCTCTTAAAAATGAAACATTTAAATATAACAACTATGTTTGAATCACATGCCTCCAGATTTTGAAAGAAAGTAGTTTTTGATCATCAATATTTCAGCTTTATAATTCTGGATTGTTATGGGTTCTGAGCCACCAATAAACAATATTGCCACAGGCTTCTAATGCAAAGGCTCCAAGGATCTCCAGAGGGAATATAATCCAACTATGGATGTCACTGAAGGAGCTTGTCTAGCAAATTATGACTATTCAAAGTGACCAAGAAACAGAAAGATATAATAAAATAAATATGTAAGACCGCAACTCAGACTGGTTTACAGGATGATAATTTATGCTGCTATCCACAAAAAGCTATGAGCCTTGGTACAAAATACGTACAGCTACCCATGGCTATATTTTAGGTTAAGTCATCCTGTGGTATATAACCCACAAAGTACCTATATTTCCTCAGGAGAAAAGACATTTCTACATAGTGTGTTTGTATGAACAGCATTTCATCATTTTAACGGGACATATGTTCAGAAGCAAGGGAATAACATGGGCTGATAACAGTAAGAAATGAGTATCAAGAGTACATGTGGAATTCTGTTTTCTCGTATGTACAGTTGAAAACATATGCATATGTGATGCTTACAGTGTAATGTCTTGTAATGTCATTTCCACATTACTAGGAGACTCCTGGTGGAAAAAACAGTTGATCTATCTGTAAGGATATTGTCAAATACTAGAAAAATAAAATTATGACTCAAGCAAAACTGGCTCAAGAAGCTATGTTCTGATCACAATTAAGAGGTCTCTAAAATTAAATTGGTTATATATTTTCTCTAACCTCTCTTTTATTGGCTTCCATTGAACTTGCTATTAGTTGCTAGTAATTTAAATTCCAGGGATAGGATTATATATAGTTTCTTTAAAGTGTTTCTTAATATGTGGCTTGGTCTGTTAATAATCAAAACAAGAAACAACTCCTTTCTTAGAGTAATTACTGATTTCTCTGTGCTTATTTGATGCAAGTGATGTAAGGTAAAACTTCTGAAAGTGCCTGATTGTCTACTTGCAGTCCACTACTGACAATATGCATAAAATCCTATTACTTGTATTTGTTGTAATTAACACCAGGGAATTAAAGGCTCAGCTATTAAAGCTACCACAGCCACCTGTTGCAAATTAATCCTATATAGCACTGTAATAGCTGCTTTTTTCTTCCTCCATGACCACTGTGAATAGGCTTTCTACTGTGTGTCAGCTTCTTCTGTGAGCCTGAATTGAATTCAGGCATAATTAGAAATCACATCAAAACATTATGTTAATTTTCAATTGATTTTATGATTTAATTCTATTAAACTGCAGGCTTGCAAAGAAACTATAAATCCTGTACATGTCTCAGTGTGTTTGACTGCTAAACAGCTTCTGGAAATGGAAGCTGCAACACATGCTGTAGCTAATTAAAAGACATGTTTTTACTGAAATCAAATTGCTTGTCAGTATGTCAGATAAAAAGTCTATACTTGACACTCAAATGACAAACAAAGTTGTTTTTTTAACCAGGTGATAAGTTATGCAGACTAAAAGGCTGGTGCAGTGAAAAGTATGAGTCATCCTATAATAATGGGAGAGTAAGAAAGAGGAGAAAACTTGTGATACTCCATGGATAGTCAAGCCATGAAATCCCTGACCAACTCACTCCTTCAGCTTTTTGGAAAGCAGCTCTGTTTCTTCTTTTACAGCAATGATTACTATTTTGAGGGGATAATAATAATTATGACAGATTTATTCCGGAATAGACTGGGATCAGAGAGGCTGGTTGTGACAGTTATGTGATAAAAAAATACCACCCTACTCTTGTTTCTCTCTTTCCATTTAGGACCAGCAAAGGATCCAAACCACTTACACATGCAGGAGGCTGACACAGGATGCACTATCCACGGACACTTTTATAACTTCCATAAACAGAAGATCTCATTCTAAATTAACTGTGAGAGAAGCTATTACTTTGGACTCAAAAACCCTATGATTCCAAAAGATTATTAATTCCTGCATCCCAACCTGTTTAACACAGAACTACACTCTTGAATGAAATGTTCGAGCAATGTGTTGTCAAAGCCAAAAAAATCCATGCTGTGAAGAGAAATTTGTTTATGGCAGTTATACGCCATTAGAGTCTGATGTAATGTGAACAGAATTCAACAGTCAATTTAATAGCAATGGAGGATCACAGCTATCAATTATATCACCACCCTATAAATGAGGGATTCACTTCAGCCTTCCCTCTTGGTTTATGCCGTTGATTAATATAAAGAATTCAGAAATCTGGGTATGTAAATAGAAGACCCATACTTTTCTCTAGAATAACTTCAAAATATTCTTAGCATGTAGATGCCTTACTTTACGTGAATTCTCTGCCTAAATGTTGGACCAGATTAATCAATACACTACAGATATTTTGTGCAGTTCTTTTGATTAAAACTAGTGCTAAACATGGTGTCCGTCTCTCATAAGCACTTGTTACTATAGTATATCCCTATTATAATAATGCAGAAGTAAGGAAATGGCAAGAAAACGTATTGAGGAGAGCATGGTATTCAGAGAACTTTTCCAAAAAGCTTGGGTAACTCACATTAGTTTCAATAGAAACCAGACATCAAGGAGCACACCCAGTCTAAGTGAACTGCAAAACAAAAGGTCTACAATACAGAAAGGATTAAACAGCTAACCTATCTCTTCTAAGCTCCAGATTGATACAGAAAACATTGGACTATTTTTTATCTTTATTCATTAAGCTCAATTCATGATTCTTTCAGTCAGAGTGCTAAAGCCAAATGGCCACACTGACCTATTGGTCAACTCTCAGTTCCTTCTTTCTATTTTAGCTCAAGCACATAAGCCTTAATAAATACTATTACCTTGTGTTCGGACAGGATCTGACATAGGGCTGGGATCACTCAGACCTTGTGAATTGATAGCTCTCACCATAAACAGGTAGATTGTATTGGGGCGCAGTCCTCTCACAGTGTAGAGTGTGGTCTTCACATGGTTAGCCACCGTTTGCCAACTATTGCTCACAGATTGACTGCAACGAGAAGAGGGTTGAAGATTATAGACTAATGCAAGAAAAAAATAAAGAAGTGAAAGGACCTGCTTTTGTAACCCTATATAAAGTCTAAGTACAGAAAAAAGTAGTAAAAGCAAGGTAAAAAATAAAAATATTTGTTTAAGTTAACTCATCAAGGTGGGATAAAAAAAACCCCACAGCTGTCAAAAGTATTTCTCCTTTCAGCAGCAGCAAAAGCTTTTGCTACCTCTCCAAAATAAATACCTACAAAAGGAAAGTGTGGAAAGCTGTAAAGTAAATTTGAATGATAGACCACTCTTGAACATAAACCTTAGAAAAGAAAATCCTGTTAAAAGAGTAATTTTATACACTGCTAAGTAAATTATGTCAATAAATTGTCATTGGAAGAAAAGTATTGTCCTTGAACTATATTCATACTCAAAGTTACAGAAAAACCTGCTGAAAACATTCTTGTAAATGAAGGAAAGCATATGAATACTTTTTCTGTCACTACATTTTCCATTGGACATTATTATAATTAGATTACAATCCACTGTATGAAGAGATTTCAAGTGTGACTGTTAAAACAGCTTTTAATGAAAATGCCTGGCTTTTGTTAAAGTTATTGATGGGATGCCATTAAAGCTTATCTGGGGTGAAGTATCACAAAAGTTTAAAGAGAAAATTTTATCTTATTGTGCTTTGTTGTATAGCATTGATTAAAAAAAAATCTGAATATATTAAAAGGAAAAAGAAACTGGAGAGCTACAAGTTTCATGGTTCAATTGTTTCAGTCATGTAATGCATAAAGGATACATTCCAAAACAAAATCCACAATCTGCACGTACAGTAATGTTCTTTGCATATTAACTAGCAGGGTGAGGCATTATTGCTATAACTTCTTAAATTTGCATTAATTTTATTTAAAAGATGAACTAAATTATTTGTCATTTGTTGAACAACTTGATTAAGGAAAACATTTAAGAACGTGCACATTTTTAAGCCAAAGAGTATATTACTGATACATGTGAGAGGTATGGCCCATGCTTAGACAAACTTGCTGAATCGGAGCCCAGGAGTTCTTTCATACCATGTATTAATTGCTGCTGTGTGGAAGCGAGCAACTGGATTTTCTTCAGCCTCAGGCTGCAGTATGAAATCCTAAATTATCAACACTAGCCTTTTCAGCTAAAAGTTTTAATCTACCTAAAACAGTAAAAAATAGAAATTTTAAGTGCTTTGACTCTTTAATATGTGCTGCTTTAACAAGAACAGGAATTCAAGTATGCAGAGAGGCTTCAGGATTATCCATTTATTTTCAGATTATTTGTACTCTGATAGTCAAGATAACACTGGCCCGAAAGATTTGACCTGCAGTATTCCCACAGGAAACTCACTGATCATCAGTGCTAGAGGAAAAGTAACAATTAATGACTGTATTGTCCTGTTATATTCCTGTTGACCTGAAGAAATAGTTAGATGTTCCTCTGATTAATCACTTAGAAAAAAGTGACAAATTAAAAAAAAAAATATCAATTTGAAAAGTAAGAATCAATGCCTGCCACATGAGTTGAGTCTTTTAATGGACTTCTAATGATATGTGTAGAGTCTAAAAGAACACCACAATACCAGGAAAACAGCTGGTACCAGGATTCAAGCAAAATTAGAAAGGAAGGAGATTAAAAGTGGAATAATTCACATACCTAAAAGCCTCAATGATATATGCACTAGCTGGTAGGCTTCCAGGGGTCCCTGGTTGCCAGGACAGGGTGACACTGTTCTTAGTAACATCAGTGACCTGAGGTTTGGATGGTGGCCCAGGGAGGTCATTTATATCATAATTTTTACTGACTGTTGCTCCACCAGATTCTGTGAGGGGCAAATACAAAACAATTACTTTTTACCCTTGATTGTATAAATTTGATCAAAGTAGAAGATTAAAAGGAAAAACATGCCAAACATCTGCAAAATCAGCATAACCAATGTTCTTAATCTGTAAAGAACTAAGTCAACAATTGCACAACCACACACATTTTTGGATGAAGAGCTATTGTTCTTTAGGTATATACTGAAAGAAAAAAACCCACAAAACTCAAAAGGTTATATATAAATATATATAAAAAAAAAAAAAGGAAAATAGCAAAAAAGCCCAGCTTTGCTGAAATTTACATAAAATACCAAAACATCAGTTGCTAGAAGGCTGAGAAAGTTCCTATATCCAGATCAACTCCAGTACTCACAGAGAGCACACTGGACTTTGATAGGCCTCTATGTAGGCATAATAGTTTCCTTGCCCAAGCCAATTACTGGACAAACCCATAGTTTATTAATACTCCTACTTAGAAGAGTTATAGCATACCTGTGTCAGTGGAGACAAATACAAATTGTTGCAATGTCAATGGGCAATTAAAGATAATAGCAGTGAAATACAAGGTGTGTGAAGGAACCCAGCCTTCCTACCCAAAACTTCTCCATCTCAATCCTAGAATTTCTAGAACAGATTATTTGACTCAGACTGCTCTAACATAGTCTACGCATTCATTTTGTGCCAACTGAAAAACAGCCCCTGGATATCACCTACCTGTCACCTCCAGCACAGCACTCCAAGATGTCTCTCCACTGGAACTTGTAGCAACGCAAGTGTAAGTCCCAGTATCGGACAGCTAGACATAAAAACCAGTTAAGGGCAGTTTTAACAACCTTTTAGAATCAGCTGACTGAGTTTATACTAATTTTCTTTTTCTAAATGTTTCTTGGTAAGAAGAACTTAGCCTACATTTTACACCAGACTAGAGGGCACTGGCCATTTTCAAACAATTGTTTAATGGTGGCTTACTTTTAGAGAACTGTAATAAGATTACTTGCTTCTAAAACTTTTCTAATTCTAATTTTCATATTGTTAATGGTACCAGTACAGAATGTAAGTGCTACAGAATGGATGTTTTAGACAGTATCAACCTTTGTATTGGTTACAACAAATAGAGGTGAAATTAGGTAACAATATAACAATTAACTTCTTAGAGGATAAAATCTCACTGTTGATTATCCCATGATGACCCAGAGATACAGTTTCCAGCGCCAGTAAGGCTGTTAAATCATCTTAGACTCTTATAACAGATGAAGTCATTTCTATACAGGACTCCACACATACAAATACTGTTGCTGAGACTTTATAGTGGTTCCTCTACACAGACAGTCCTCCAAGCAATTCTCAAATGGCGAAATTAAATCAGATCCTACACCATGCTTACCTTTCTTCTCTTTCACATGGGATTTTATTTCAGGCTTGCAAGGCACTTTGGTAGCAAAAAAAATACATTTGTATAAAACCACTGTGATTCCCTTGTCAGTTCATATATTTCAAATTTATTTGGGGAAACTGTTTTGAATTATATTATCAATATTAATTTCTTTGCTGTATAAATTGTCCTACTGGAAAATTTGCCAAGTGTTTTGCTATTCCTTACTTAAATTTAAAGTAAAGATTTCTGAGACAGGAACTAGTAAAGACTGCAGGGATGGATGGAAAATGGTAACTTTACAAAGCACACTTTGCTTTGTAACTTTACAGAGCAGCCCTCCTACCATTATGTATAAAGCATGGTAATCTGCAGATGGTAGCAGAAGAGGGACAGTGCTGACTCTAGTGATAAAAGAGAAGAATTATATTCACCATCAGATGACTTGACAGAAATAGGACTGCATCCAAGAAGGTTTATTGGACTTTAAGGAATTGTAATGGGTTTTCTGCTAAATACAGATTGGCACTATAGCAAATGTGCTTATACCTCACTCTTCAAGAAGAATATCAAGCCAAATAAGTGAGATGCTCTTTAGATTACTTGTTGATATATAATTTAATTGATTTTTAACCTTGTCATGTTTTAATTTTGTTGGTATTTTCTTCAGATACACTGGGACTGCAGTGTACCATTCTTAGGGGCAGGAAGCAACTGATTAATGCCCGTTCAATTGTCTGAATGAGCATAACTTGCATTTTAGGAGACGTTTTTTCCATGAAATACAAGCAGTAATTAAACCCTTCTGAAAATGTCTGAGACTCAAAATACAGAGGTACTGCTAATGAAATGAGAAAGACTCTTGAAAGGAGACAGATTTTCCAGAGGAGAACGCCTTATAGCATTCTGAAGTGTTTTATTTTGCTGCTTCTGAGCTTTTATTAAATATATAATTCTTCATTATGTGATAATGGAGAATATTTCTCAAGGCTATGGTTCTCAGTTTCATTTGTGTACTACTGTGACAGATGGTGTATGGCATACTCAATGAATTATGTAGTATACACAACAGAGTAACTTGCAGAAGGCAAACTCAACGTATAAAGCAAGCTGGAGATATGCTGCCTCTTGCAAGTTATGGTAATTATCTAACTTCCAGACTGTGGATGGATTAGATACAGACATAGTGTATTGATAATTCAATTATTTATACTTTTTTTGTGCTGTGGAAAAAACAATAGGGGCGGTGAATGGAAAATCTTTGCTATTCAGTAAAATAAACAATTCTCTTCCTTAATTAATGCAGGTGTCTAAATCTGGTGTGGTACGCTTCTACGGAGAAGAAGGGAGTTTTCTGTCAATGTTGACCTGTCTGAAAGAGTACTGAGTGAGTGACGTATATGAGTTTTTAGTTGTCTTCCTCAGGGCAACTGGGAAGATTGGCTCATCAGAAAAAATTCTATGTTCATGTACGTGACTGTGGCCCTTGGTTTACTGTGACTGCTGCAGACTCCTGAATAATTTGATTTACACATAAAAAGAGAGTTAAATAGCAGAAGAGGATGGTCCTAAAGATTTAAATAGTAGTGGCTCATCTCTACCCATATCTTGAAATCTTCTATGATTGCAATAGTGATTATTATTTGTGACAGGAGGAGAAGGCTGCGGACATGTGGGTGATAAATATTAATTTGTTTTGAACTTGGGTATGTAAGTGTACTTGGATGTATTTCGTGGCCATTTTTTGCTTAGGAAGTGTTGCTAGTCCTTGCTCAGGTAGACCTGACAGAAAAGTTAAACATTCCAAATTTAAATACATATTTAATTCATAAAAAGTGCAAGGTACAGGAGAAATCTTATTTTTATGGTTGTGTGTGTTTTTTATTCTTAAGTCTGAGCCAAACAGTGCACACTACAGCAATCAAGGGGTTTATATAAATTGTCTTTCTAGGCATTTAAGGAAAATTGGTTACTAGTGAATGAGCCACTTAAGGATCAATAAAAGCTTCATGTCTTTCAAAACCACACTCATTACTAATACTGTTTTCCTCTCCCCTTGCAAGCAATTTTTTTTCCTTTCATTTACAGACCTTGTGCCTCTAACAGTGAGATTAATGCACTGGCATGATTCAGAACCAATTTCATTGTTTGCATAGCTGCATGCAGACAGGTATCCCAGGAGCTTCTGCCTCATGGACACTCCACAGAAGCCCATCATCGATGCCTCAAAGTTTGTTTGAAATCACTAAGCTTCCACCTTTAATTGCTGCTTTCTAACACTACTGGGGAATCTTGACTATTCAAGCGCACTCTTTAATCCAGCTCTACAGGAAAAATGCATTAACCTTCGTGGCCTAAACCTGCCTTCAGCCCAGGGAGGAAGGATAAATTGTTTACTCAAGGAAAGCTAGCATAAATTTTTTAATAAATTCCATTTTGTTCCAAGGAAGTTAACAATTCATCTACGGTCACTGATGAGATGGTATCAGAAAACAAAACTGCTCTTTATGTCTTGTCCTCAGTAGCTACGTTTATTGACATTTTTTTGGATGGCAAAGCTACGTGCAGAAATTACTGCTGATGAAATTAAATGGTTTCTGAAATTGCCTTCACGTTCTTGAAAAATAATTACATTTACGTTACTATTTTTCCATATACATGCTTGTTCTTGTGCACACAATCAAATGTACATTTTTACCTTTGAGCAGGGAAAAATTAAAAGCCCAAACAAAGATTAGAGATGCAAAGTTTAACACCAAAATCTCACATTATGCTATGTGAAATATTATAAGATTTCTTTGTACTTTTAAGATATTGTATTATCTTGTGTCAAAATGTAAAATATTATGATAGGCATTTGATTTTGAATAGAAATCTCTCTGCATATGACTGCATGTATGTTACAGTATTAGTTGTCTTCTCCCCTCCGCAACATGATGGAACATCTCTAGCAAGCATAACACTGGAATAAATCAGCCAGCTCAAGACTGCCAAGACTCACTGATGGAGGAAGTGCATGGCCAAACCCTGATGAACTCCAGAATCACTTGTGAGCACAGTAGCTTCTTGGAAAATTACCATCAGGTGTTGAAAATGAACTGCTCTAAGTTTTAGCAGAGACAACAGGCCAATGGCTTCATGATAAGACCGACTGAAAAGATAAGGAAGGCCTGTCCTTTTCATGTCTGTCCATCCCCAATTCGTGTTTTACTGCACCATAAGTAAGATTTTAAATACAATTCTATATTTAGGGAATTCTAATAGAAATATCTGATGCTAGTTTGGCTCTTCTTTCCACCCCTCACCCCCCCTTCCCTACACAATGTCAAAGAATGAAATAGGATGTGAACTTAGTGAGAATTTCATAGTAAAAGAGACAATTAAGTAAATTTTGAAGACAACAGACAGCAAGACAGCAGAGCTGCTTGAGGCACACGTCAACAGCTCGAGACTAGCCATGTACCACTTGCAGCGCTTGTTTTGTTATTGCTACTCACCCGCAGAGTTTTAATCTGAAGCGTCCCCTGATCCTGTATGGATGTTCGAGGGTCTCTGCCCAGGAAAGTGAATCCTTCTTTTAACCAGCTGATGACAGGAAGGGGGTCACCAGTTGCCTTGCACTTCAGCAAAGCTGTCCCATCCACTGCCAGAGTCTGATTGACCGGCCCCTGGAGGATGATGGGCGGAGGCCTATCTGTCAAGACTGAACAGTGACACATGCGTTGGCATCCATACCTTTAACGATCCTCTGCTGCAGTTAGCCCTTTCCTTGACGCAGTACCAATTTCAAGAGACTAGTTTCAGTTAGCCTCTAAAAGGCTAACCATTATTCTGGAATAATAAAACCATTATTTCTGGAAGACCCACAGATACATGTTAACAATTAACTGGTATATTTGAAAAGCATTTTTGTAAGAATTTTATTTGACCACTGCAAGATAACACCTAGATACATAAACTTCTGTTAGCAAAGACCATCAGATTCATGTGATTAAGATAGGATAAAAATTAAGACCTTGATGCAGAAAAGAATTGAGGTACATCTCTTATTTCTTCCAATTTAGGAAAGCACTTAAAGCACATGTTTAATGTCACATCAAAACATGTTTAACTGCTTACCTGATTTAGCACCTAAAGAGAAAATCTGTTAAAGTTCAAAGTGAAACACCATAGCCATTCTAGCATGGGTACCAATCACATCCCCCATTCATGCTCAACTTGCAAGTTTTCATCAGCAAAAGTATCTAACAGTAATACAAAACATTTTCATAATCTGAGTGATCTAAATGACTGTACCACTCTTTTCAGTGGAGAAAAGTTCAAACTCAATCAAGCCATTTAACAGCTCACTTATCAAATAATTTCATCACCTTTAAAAGCCATGAACTCTTTTAATTTTTTTCCCCTACTAATTTACATTTGCATGCTTGAAGTACTGCTTAAAGGACTCTGTAACCAGTGACTGAGTGCATGGCTGTGTATAAACCCCATTCCATGACCAGTGGGATATCTTGAAGATGAGGTAAAATGCTCATGTTCACTTTTCTTGAAAGACCAATTTTTCATAAATAATTCTGCTGTTGAACCTATTCTCTGAGCCATCTGTTAAGCAGAAAAATATAACTTTTTTTCTAAAGAATGTGTTCATACAAAATGAATGTTAAATACTTGAATATAAACAAGGCTATGACTCCTGCATAAAATCAGTATAACAGAACTGAGAATTCATTTTGATATATTTACCAGCCACACTACTCCTTTAAATCTTTGAACAACTGAACAATTATATGACTGGTATTAAATATTGTAACAAGCAGGATTAGCTCCTAAACCAGTCTAAGTTAGCCTGCCTCCACCAATGTCAATGCAGTTTGAATCATTTATTCTAGCTGAGAATCTGTTTCATTATAGTCCATACACAACACCTGACTCTAACAATGAACTGAAAATAAATTATTGTGAAGCAACATGGTTTCTGTTGTATTTGAGCTGTTTGAGATGCCAACCTCTGGAACCTTCAACAGATCCAAAGTGCTTTCATTATGCTATTTAACAAATAAAAAATATCAGGGAGATGTTAGCGGTACATTTTATACCTAAAACAATTGTTTCTGAAATGTTAATGTTGCAAAAATACTACCTAACTTCTTTTGTTAACAAGATACATAAAGGATAGAATCATTAGTATTAGTAGTACCTTGGAGTGTGAGTTTATCACATTTATTGAAATTGAAACTGAAAATAGAAAGCCAATACAGATTATTTATTAACACCAGAATGTGAAAGCTATTTTGGATATTCTGAAATATCACCCACTGAACTCCGAGATATGACAGGAAACACTATATTACAAGAAAAGAGAAAATGTAATGCATTTTCACCTTGATATGAATTTTTTTATCTCATTAATGTTCCTTATGACTACACAGTTCAGCCATTTGGTAAAATAAAAATTGATCTCAGCTCATATGTACTATCAGCATACCTTCAGCACGAGTAGTATATTAGAATGAAAACTTAACTGTGTAAATTTTCCTTTCAATTTAACATAAAACAGCAAATCCCAGTTTTCTAGGTAGCTAAAAACTAAGGAAAAAGAATTACTTAAGTTCTTAATGATTCCATTGCAGTTATTTGCTGCATCTAATTGCCTTTCATATGTGTAGCAATGTAGGTATTTTCAAAACCTACTGCATTACGGATATTGTTCTTTGGCATGTAATTAGGTTTTTTACAGCCCAAATGAGCAGCTCATAATCCTTTAAATAGCTCTGATCAATAGTGTAATTGAAAGTCTCCTGGCCAGAAGGAATCTTCATTTTCAAGGGTGTTATGGGTGAAAGACCACTACAGGTTTCCATGACACTAAGGCTAAAGGTTAAATGAACACTTAGGGTTTCCACTGATCTGTGAACGACTGCACTGTCTTCACAACTATGACTTGTAAATCTCTAAAATGTGTATACATGCTTGCGTTCCTACTAGATAGGTCTCCTCATTAGTAAGGATCCAAAATTCCCTTAGAGGTTTAAAAAGATATATCATAAGCATTCTGAAGAACAGAGAGATAATGAAAAATATCCACAAAAAGGTTGGGGGTTTTGTTAGTTTCTTTTACAACATTTTTATTTTTTATTTAAATTTTACATTGTTTTATCCTAGCAGGAAACTTTTATATCTATTCCACAGAGACATTTTGTGTGGCTAAAATATATTTGCATAGTAAAAGAGAAGTTGATTTCAAAATTAATTTAATTTAAAAAAATGGTTTTGAAACTATTTGCCAGCAACCATATATTCACATATTCTGGTAACTGAAAAGTTATCAGATTCCTTTTGTGATAAAATGCAGATTAAATTTTGAGCAAAGTATCGGAAAAGAACAAAATATATTGTTAATGAACAGTTTATTCATTACAAATGCAATTTGGATTAACTGAAATGATGTTTAAATTTGGGTGGAATTTGGTCAAATTACAACAGGAAATTAAAATAAGAGAATAACAAAATGAAGTCTTTACTTTGGCACTTCCAAAATCAACATTTCAGAAGTTTTCCTGGTGAATTAATGGGTTAAATTAGACACAAGTCATGAAATTCTCATGATGAACACTATTATGATAGGGCCGGGTGCTCTCCTGAGAGGTGGAAAAGCAGAGACCAATCCTTCCTCTGTCTTTTTTTGTGGAAGAGCTTCACAGGAGGCTGTGATGTTGTTCTGAATCTCTCCTGTTTGAAATTGTCACACTTGCTATAAAACATGTAATATACATTTGATAAGGGATAGGAAACATGGTGGGCAGATTTGCAGATGCATAAACTGTAAGTGATATTAAATTCTTCCAGGAGGATTTGAGAGAGACATACCCCAGAATATTCAATAGACCTATAGTAAAAATATTGCAGAGGAGTTTGGGAAAAAATGCCTTAAATGTCTATTCCAAATCAGTGGAGAGGGAGATGTTGAGGTATGCTGCCAACTCCTTCTCTTTTTTTTTTTTGTTTTTTAATCTGTTCTGAATTATCCTTATAGGTCCAGCCTTTCACTTTCATTCAAAAGCCCAGAAACATGATCTTTTTAATTAATTTAATATCCTAAACCAGTTCATTCTTATGTTGCCAGAAGAATCCACTGTGGGAGGTTAAGCTTGCTCCTCCATCCCAATACTCACCCTAAACAGCAACTGCTGGGTAAACTGGGCAAAGTAGGCTGATTCTATAGTTGAGCATGCAATGATCAAAACTTTTATTAATAAATATTAATAATTACTAGATAAGAAGAAATTGAGATCTTCAAAATATTCTGTGCATGATGGATAAATTTATGGAACAAATTACTAATTGTTAACTATTCTTTTTGTCTTGAGCACAGATAGATGGAAGCATTTGGTTTATTTGCATGATCTGTCATTTTAAGACTGTGAGCTGCATATTCACTTCTTGAGTTTCAAGGGATTGCTAAGATTGTCTCAATTTTTAAAATTATTTTGCTTTTCCAGATGTGCATTAGACAGTGGATTATATGATAGCCTTTCAAGAAAATAAAAGATTTGAATTTCAAATACACTGAAGGCTCTTAGCGCAGTCCATAATCAGCAAAATTATCACTCAGCTCAGCACATTTCATCACAGCTAGTAATCTCTTCTCATGTGAACACTTGAGTTAAAAATATTTCCAGTAAAGACTTGTAAGTGCAAAAATATAACAACTGAAACACTGCTATATATGGTATAATTAAGCACTTGTTTTTCTGCACATGACATGTTTTCATTCTGTATTGGAACTTCAATTGGATCTAAATTACTCTGGATCAAACAAAAATGTGTTCACAATGAAAAAGATGGCTTGCCACTATTATTAAATCATTAACCAAACAGAAAAATTCTGGGCTATGAAGTAAAACTGAAATCACCAGCCAAAAACTAGAACACTAATGCTTAAGTATATAGCTAGCATGCACAGTGTTCATCTATTATTATATTTTTAAAACCATTAAATTAGATTTCCCTACTGAAAAAAAAAATCATTAGCTTCCATAACTCTGCTCAGCATCAACCAAAACAGATTATTTAGACATTTATGGTTAACTTCCTAACTGAAAGCAATTAAAAAAATATCTGTGATCTAATGGTACATTTATTTGTATAATCCCAGTTCCACAATATTGTTTTAGCACTTTTTTTCTGACTTCACCTGCCCTTTGACTCACGGATGAAATGGGATTTCTGTAAAGTAACCTTTTATTATTTCATAATGATCATGCTGACAGTGGGTTCTGGAAAGCATTTGAAGAACGCAGGCCTTGCATTCCTTGAGCAGCAGAGCCACCAGCTAATGCTTTCTCTAGCAATGTGGAATGCACACCGCCTTTAATCAGAATTAATTGTAGATGTGTTTGCATTTTAGCAGGGACACTGTTGTGAGCTTTCTGTTGACTTGTTAAATCAACTAACGAAAGTTCCAAAGGGGTCAATTAGGATTTATTATTTTTTTTTCCCTCACACAAGAAATAGATAAAGATAGACCACAGGCCTTGTCTGTCAAAAGGAAGAATTCCTTATCACTAATATCCTTGAACCTGATTTGATCGACTCAGCCCCTGTTGCAGTAAATCTGTACAGCATCAGCAGGTGCAACCCTTAACAGCTCAATGTCCTCTTAGCCAATGTTTTTGTGTTCTATTTATTCCAATCACCATCATGGCACTGACTCAGGCAGCACTATGGACAGATATTAACAAATACTGCCTCTCCATTAATTTTAAATGACCTTTTAATCCACATTTAAATTTGAATTGAATGAAAATGCATCATTTTGTCACAGACCATGAGAGAAAGGACATAAAGAGATTGCAGAGTAAAGGTTAGCCTTTAGTCTCCAGAAACTACTTGTAAAGATGCAAGGATAAGGCAGAAATTATCTCCCCCTGTCATAAAAATATAGACAGCTTGTGGAAAACAAAGAAAAGGCATCAAATTAATGCTCAAACCTCTATAACATGAGCCTGAACCTCTCTACCTGTCACTTGTGATGAATATGCTCTTGTGAAAAGCCAGCTTATTCAGAATTAGACATCTTTTCAAACTTTCATGGCGCAGGCAGGTCTCTAAGGGAACAGGAAAAGTAGACCCCTGCATATAACAACAGTTTTAATGGCAAAAATTCATCAAAGTCTGTCAGGAGATATTTAATGAGTCAGTTAAGATAAGGAATAATGATGCTGGGGAATGCCACAATCTCCTAGTATAAAAGGAATTCTGTTGTTTTCTTCACTAACATTAAAGGATGCAAACTGCCTTCTATCCACAGTGGGATGAAGAAGGATATCAACAGGATTCCTGACATATGAAAAGGATTCATGCTTTTAGATGGAGTAAGGTAAACTTCAAGGCAGGATAAAATTCAAACCCAGAATTTTGAAATGGAAAGCATCAAGACACATCTTGTAGTGCTTCTACTTTCCTGAAAACTCTTCTCTACCTATGTCTTTCCATGGCTCTTTTCACACCTAACCATACTGAGGAATTCTTAGAACATAGCTCTGAGGTAGGTGCCTTATTCACAGAGGGACTAAAGGGCTACATGATGTAGCTGTTCTAAACCAACAGTACTCCAGTAAGTTCAAGGCAACTATGTTGATATAATTGAGCTAAGGACACATCCCCAAACTAGCTGCCTAAGATAATATTGAAGACTGGTGGGAATTGAGCTGCATTTTTCTGCACCCCAATTCATTGCTTTAATCACAAACCTATTCATTCTTCACAATGTTTTTTTGCAATCCTATCTTAGCTCTAGTGAACTGAGCAGCTTCCTTTCTCACCAACCCTATTCTAAGCTGGTTTGTCCCTTGTTTGTATTGTTAAGGAACCTCCAGAAAGCAAGCAAAAGGCAAACTTTTTGCCTTTTTGATACCATAAAGAATTGCACAGAGACCCTTTTTCATTGTATTTTCTGTAGAAACTTGTCCGCTTACTTGTATGAATTATGTGATCTCATATGCCTTTATTTACACTGCTTTTAAAACACTTTGACAGGAAAAAATAGGAATTTCTATAGCTTACCATCAGTAACCTCCAGCTGAGCCTTTGCTAAAATGCTTCCAGCAACCGTCAGTGCTTGACAAATGTAGTAGCCTGCATCAGACCGCTGAATGTTGGTAATAGTGAGGTCTCCAGTTGGTGACACTGAATACCTGCTGTTGGGTTGGAGAGGCTGGTTTGGGAAGAGTAGATTCTGCAAAGACAATTCATCTCACATCAATTCAAAACACAAAAGCACCACTTTTCCCTCAGCTAGAGAGATGATGATTTTTCCTTAAAAGTTCTATATATAAACAAGGAGAAAAAGTAAGTGTGGTTATGACTTTATGAACACATAGAGCTAGCTTTCCCTGCCTTGGGCAACTTGCAGTTTAAATTAGAAACAGGCCTTTGACAGCACACAGTGGTGTGTTCTGGCTGGGGATACAGGAGAGGAGAAATTTTCCAACAGTCACACTTGGGTGATTTGTATTTGTGACACATTCATTTTCATTCTGAACATAATTGTAATAATATACTTAGTTGGCTATCAAATCAGGAGGACACAATACTACAGTAAACGTTAGAAAACTAACAGAAAGGATTGAATCCTAGAGACTTGAGGGAGCATATTGTTTGGCTGTGAATATGTTCTGGGCAAAGGAGAAAGTAAGAGCGTGACACAGAAGAAAAGCTGGGAGGAAAATACAAACAGGTCATAAAATAGGAAAAGCTGCCAGAGCACGAGAGCTTAAAGGAGAAGTAAAAGGAAATTAAAACTGAGGTTTACCAAAGGAGAAAAGCAGCATGGAGCCTTGAGGGTGAAGAGAAAGGGTATAAATCTGATGTGGAAACCATCAGAGAGAAAAAATAATTTCATGTGGGATAAGACATCAGTTAGCACAAAACAGGGAGATTAGCTTTTGCCTTTGGGCTGGATTGGAGAAAAGAGAGATGTCAATAAGAATAACTGGAATGGATGTAGTAGTCTTTGCATATGATGAAGGACTGAATGAATCAATAATACAGAAAAGGACTGAAAAGGTTTTAGTGGTGAGGGCTGTGTTTTCAAGGAAAAAGTTATACCATTTGGCACAGCTCTTGATGTGAATAAAAAAGAACAGGAAAAGGGAGGCAACGTGAACAGAAAGGTCAGCAGCATTGCCCAATGAGATAGAAAGGGAAACAGATTAAACAATAATTAAACAACAGTAATTCCAGGAAAACAGAGTCTGGCTTTTATGTCAGCTCAACAAGACTCTATGAAAAATACAATTGTTTGTATCAGGAATATCCCAAAATGCTGTTACCATGCTGTGATAAGCTTTCAGTCATTACTGCAGCTCTGTATAGCTCTGCTGTGCTTTCTAATGACAACTCCCTACTAACATTCAGGCTTGTCTATATGGGCTAAAAAGAAAATCTAAAATTATAGAGTAGGGTATTAAATGAATTTTCTGTAGCTCTGCTTCTTCTGCAGTAGACCTTAATGGTTTACAAAAAATGATTTGGAACTGACAAGCAACAAACTTGGATTTTAAAAAATTCTGCTTTGAAATGAAGCTCACACCTTTATCTCTCTGGTTTTGGCTATAAAAGGAGATAGATATGATTTAAATAAGATCCGGCACTCTTATAATTGTATTAACCTACTAGGCTACTTATCACCTTAGGTGAGTCTTTCCCCTTAATCCCTTTCAATGTCAGTGTTGAAGAAATCTATCACAGTAAATTTTTCCTCAAAAATCAATATGCACCCAGTAAACATGTCAGATCCAATATGAAAAAAAGTGTGAAAATTCTGAAACAATTTCAGGCTACAGGGCTAAGTGGGTCTCAGAAAATTGCCCTGTTTTCTGAATTGCCTTGAAACTTTCAGAATAACTTCTGCCTGGCACAGATACCTACTGAATGAGGGTATTACGAAAACTCCACTAAATTTTATGAGAAAGCAGAGAATTTTGATATGGCTGAGCTTGACTCCACTTATCACTCATTATTCAAAGTGTAAAAAGAAACACAATGTAAAAGACAGTGCAAAGATCAAGCTCCTAATTCTTAAGAGGAAAAAGATCCAGAATCCTCTTTACCACTGCATTAGAAAGGGGCGGCTACCCTTCTTTTTAACTTCAGGATGGGCTTGTCAGTTCTGGAGAGGTACCACATCCCAGAGACTATTCCACACATTGGGAGGAGTTCATCAGTCTGATAACTCCTCTCTTCAAAGACCAGATAACTATGAATTACGACTTGCCCTAAATTACAGTACAACCCCTTTTGAAATGATTTTACAATTTCACTGGTTTTAATTAGCTGTCGGGTTGCTCATCTGGGCACAACGGTGGCATGCTGGGTTGCAAACAGGGGGACCAGAGTCATCCCTAATATAATACTACTGAATTTATCTCAAGAAAGAATCTAATCCAGAGAGTCTAAAGGCTACACAAGCCCTGCCCTGGTGACTTTCATTGGTGGGCAGCTGTTAGGCTCTGGGGAAAAGGCTACCGAGTACAAAGGACCAGCTGTTTATGCACAAGCTGGCACAAAAAATGACTCAGGACGGAACAGCTCCCCTCCCTTCCAGCTGGTTGTGCTCAGAAACACAGGATCAAGAAATGGATTCACAATGAAAAATGCCCTACAATTACTGGAGTGGGCTAGGATGACTACATAACATTACTCTGAACACTAACAGTGGTGCTGCAAACAGTTCCTTGAGTAAAAGCAGAAGCAAGCGTTGTAAAGCCAAGCAACAACTTATAGCTGGGCACACAAAGGTGAAAAGTCATGTAATTTGGCCAAAATACCATCCTCCAGATTTGTATGATGATATACAGTATGTGGAAACTCACCTATTCTACGGCATCTCATTGCAAAATCTGGCAAGTTGTGTATTGAGACAGTAACGCTAACCTGTGTTACTTCACTGATGCTCAATTAAGGTTAACATGAGGGTGTAGTGAATCGCATTGAGCTATGTTTCAATGTTTGATTATAAACCATGTAGGTATCCATTTTTATGTTGCATTTATTTGCCAAAAAAGACCATTCTAGCCCTCAGGGATCTGGTTCTCAATACAGTAATTAATTTTCCAGGTTTGTAATTAAACAGCAGCTTCAACATGGTACAATCAGTAGGTAATAACATTCAATTAAAGACACAAGATGCATTTTCACCTTAAAATGTTTTTACCCTTGAAGTGATACCAGTGGAAGAGGGTAAAATAGAGTATTAACACTTTTCAATTATGCTAAATGACTTTAATCCTGCAAATGATGTCCTACTTTAATTAGAAACTCTTCTCTTTATTACAGCATGATGAATGTCCACTTTATTAGATTCAAGTGTGACACTATAAGCTCACTTTACATAAACATTACTATGTTATTAAAATGCTCTACAAGGAAGGGTTTTGAAATGTTTGCTAGCACATCAGTACTTCCTACTTTAATTTCAATATGCTATTCTAGTTTCCCTTTGGAACAAATTTCACCTTAGTGAGACTCACAATACTGTGCTTTTCCAGGGTGTGATCCATGAAGGCTAGATCTAAAGTTCTCCAAATAATACACTGAAAGAAACACACTGAAGATTAAGCTTACACTCATACAAGCTTACGCTCATAAAGTAACAGTGTTGCATCTTTGTAAGCCACAAATGCAACAGAACACAAAATGCTGTCAGTCTTGGTCCTGTCATTCTGGACCAGATATCTGCCCTTGTGAGCAGGTGAAGCAGAAGCAGGTGGAGCAGAGCGGGAGATCTGAGGTTCAGTTCTTATCTCACATTTTAACTGAGCTGGTACACACAATGCCTCCAGATTAGACAAAAGACACACGTGCACTGTACAACACAGTGTGGATACTTCCACAACACATGTGGATATGTGAGAGTTATCTCACATATCACCGTATGCGAAAAAGTAGCACAGGGCTCTGAAAAGACTAATTTAGTCAATGGAGAAGGGTACATAGTATAGACCCATAGAGAGATGTAGCTGTGACAGGTTTCCTCAGGGAGCTGAAGAAGGCACTGTCCTTGGGCATCCATTTTTCCAGGTGCGAAAGAGAATACAGCACATAGTTTACAGTGTTGAAATTTAACATACTAACATGAACTGCACATTGAAAGTGAGAAGGCCTGACTTCTGCTGTAACATCATGCCAGTACAGCAACAGCAGTAAAAAAATGTTATGGCATGACATTCAAATATTAAGCTAGAAGTTAGTATTGGCTGGTGGCAACATTGATTACTACATCAGAAATTTTTATTTCAAAAAATGACAGTAAGGATCAGGGAATATTTCCAAAACCAGATTCAGAAATTTCCTGAGACATTTTTACTGAAGAAAGCATCTGCGTATTCAAAACCTCTATCTGTATGCACTATGAGAATATGCCAATGCAAATCAGCTTGCTAGATATGTATCTGCTTGATCATGTCTAGACAGGTTGTGAACTGTAATTAGACTCTGATGATTAGTTAAAAATTGAGTCATACCTTTTATATCTACTCTTTGTCTCATCCACCTGTTTGTTGGGGGCTTCAGAATGCAAAGTCTTTAAGATATATACTGTTGCTTTCTATACATTTATACAGCACCTAGCACAAGTTTCACCAACTTAAATGGCCTTTGAGTTCTTCACAGTATTAATATTTTAAAAAAACAGCAATGAAAGTGTCAGTAGAAAACAGTGATAGTTGAAAAGACAAATTCCTGTGAAAGATTAAAAGAATTTGTAAAAGGTAATATAAATAATTTTCTTAAAAATTTAACAATACAACTATTTAGAAAGGCTTGAAAGACTTATCGGGTGCTTATAACTTACCTGGCTTCCTTCTTTTTGCCAGAAAACAGCTGGCTGGGGATTTCCTTTAGTTTCACAAGGAAATGTCACTGTTCGACCCTGGGCTACAATCTGGTCTCGTGGTCTCACCACAAACTGTGGGGGAGCTACAATGTAAGAAAAACCATGGTGTAAATTTAGGATATTTTGCAAGGGGGAGATAAGGAATATTGAAGGAAAGAGACAACTTTATGGAGATTTGTTTTATGCCAGAGGACGTAACACCAGAAACATTAATTAGTATAGACAGAACTAATATATAAACAAAAACAACAACAGCAACAAAAAGAGCAGCAATATCAGTATGTGATATCCCCAGTTGTGGGGAGGAAAAAAAAAAAAAAGGAAGGAAACATTACAACCATACATGCTAGAGTAAATTCCAATGACAATAAATGCTAAGAAGCAGCAGTCAGGTGTTTATGATGCCAGCTCTGGATATATTCTACCTTTCGTCTGGGCAGGTATCAGCACTCTCATATCCTCTGCGCTTCACAGAGCTTGTTGTTGTGCTGGAACTATTGTGTATTGCAATGTATGAATTAGGATATACCGACCACCTTTTTCAGTCTCTCCCTCTAGACACTTAAAAATGATTGAGAAAGGAGAGGAAGGTCTGGATGGCAGTAGAAAGACAGAAGTTCAAGACCTCATTCACTTCTCTTAGGGGTAGTGTTGGCAAGAATGGAGTGGGAAGGAAGACTTGCTGTAAAAAGAACAGTTGCTAAACCAACATAAACTTGGGGGATCCAGATTTCAGCTTGGGTAAAGACAAGAAAGAAGAAAGAGTTGAAGAGTTAGTGGGCAGCATTGAGTGGTGAGTAAGAAGGAATAGGTATTCCAGGAGATCAGAAAGAGACATGGAGAAGAAAAAAGGAGAAAGTGGAGTTAAAATAAGAAAGAAGAACCAGGACTGTCTATGTTTTCAAGCAGATGGCATTAACAATATTCAGACATAGGGGACCAGGAAGCACAGTCAGAAGTGAACAGTTTCTAAAAGGGAGGTGTAATTTGACTTGTCTGGGGGTACTGATGGAGAATAGAGAGTCAATGCTTGGTGGGAACAAGAAGGGAGAGAAAAGGTGTTAATGTGCAGAAGGAAAGTGAGGAAGAAGCAGTGTTGCAGGATTTGAGAGAAAAAACTTGACATCGGTGACTATGTTGAGCATGATGTAATAAAGCAAATGACTTTTCTATGCATGACATGCAAACCCTTCAGTCTTGGTTCAACATCGGAATTCACTGGAACTGGATTTATACTATTTGATATATCTTAAAAATGTAAGCAGTATCTCCAAATATTTTCATCAAAAGATTAGCTATCTTTTGGGGCAGGCTGAAGAATGAGACAAAATAGTAAAAAAAACCCCCCACATTCATTTTCTTCTATTCTACTACTGGTTTGGTGGTTGTGGAGAGGGATGGTTTAGGAACACTAAGCTTTTAGGTAAACAGAATTTAAGTGTTTTAGAAAACCATATTTTCACCATTATAATTACAAACTATTTAATTAGGCACGAAGAGCAATCAAGACCCAGCTTCCGATTACACCTGCTGACAACACAGACGCAAATCTGCTAACTGCACAGAAATGTATGCAAATCTGATTTTTTTGAAATACACTTTGCAGTTATCTCATGAGGCACTTCCCAAGGCTTTACAGATCAGCAGGAGTCCAAAGAGCACAGTTGAATAGTGCTAGTATAATGCACTCTTAAAACAAGAACTGTAAAGCACTTAATAAACATGGATCACCATCAATTTAGAAGGCAGAGGGTGAGGACAACACAAGAAGTCTTCCTTCTGCCTCACAATCCTAAACATAGGTTTCAGCCTCTCTGGAGAGAGAAGTGTCCACCTCTTCCCCAGACCTCAGCAGGTGTTAGTCTTCCGAAAGGGCAGGGATGAAGGGCTAGGTGCCCTGCTGCTGCCCATTTATACCCTTATGTTTTGAGGCTTCTATAAGAACACAGGTGTTGCTACACATACTGTAGGATCTGAACTCATGCTGTACTATTCCTAAAGTGCTGGACTGCAGCAAGTTACTTGGTTTTCCCTCACCTTGTTTTACCTAGCATATCTGTATGCAATCCCTACAGGTGTCAGAAAACAGTAATGTGGTAATCAGCACACATTCGATCATATGGGAAGGGAAAGAGAGAAAGATCTTTAAATTGTGAATTAGAAACCTCCATTCCTACAGGCATACCTTACACTAAGGTATCTCTACAGTTCTGACAACCCACTTAATAAAGGCCACTGAATTAGTTCAGTATTTGCTGCTCAACCATTGAAGTTCATTTCCCACGATATTAATCTAGAATCAATAAGCAACCTCAGGCAGAGCAGAGAGCAGAAAACCTCTAACCTCTTCAGGTGTTATATCTGCATTTGACAGGAACTGTGCATGAGTCCTATGTCTATGCTGTATTATGGGTGGCCTCAAGACCATAATCTTTCTATTGTGCTGCTAAAAACCTGGTGTCAGGAGACCATCCCATAGACCATACCCAAGCATGACTGATACCTAACATCACTTCGTAGGCATGCTTGGTGCACTGGCGGTATGTTATGCAGACAGTGCTCTGAGGCAGCTCAACAGAAGGAAGAGGGGTATGGCATTTCCATGAGCCTATCTTTCAAATCATGTAACCAAACAAATGCAAGGTAGGTGAGTTTAAGGGTTCATCTGAAACATTCTCACACGCACAAGGCTGTACTGTAAGTCAATAATTCAAAGCTCTGAGCAGATGTAATAGAACTGAATTTGTTGCTGTAGCAGACTTTCCAAGCACCAAATTAAGGTAATTTGGTAGTCAAGGTACAATGAGACATAAATGTCTTAGTTTCTACCTAGTTTACAGTTTTTTGACCTACCCTTAACTTTGAACATCTCTCACTTTCCTATGAGCAGAAGAAGGATCCTTTATTTTGCAAAAAGAGACAAGGAAAGGAAGCAGGAATTAAGGCCGTAGCTCAGTCCAGATAATCTAAATGACATGGATTGACCCTGCTGGTCTGTTCTCTCCCTGCCACACACCAAGTCCTCTCCAGCATTTGCCATTCTAGGTGACCAGAAGATCCATGGCCTCATAGCTACTAGTTTAGACTTTCTAAAGACTCCAGTAAACAATGATGTATGGTTATGCAAGGATATCTTATCCAGCTTTTCTCTGCGGCCATAATTACTGGAAATTCACTATAAAAATAAACAAATGAATCAGAGCTTTTATTTAAATATTATCTCTTGATCTCACAAGGACCTGACTGTTATTGGTCACTATGTTAATTAGAGCACAAACCCAATTCCTTCAGCCAAACAATTTAATACCATAATTTTAAAGAGCATGAAAAATGTCAATTTGGAAAAATAAAACCTTGTATGTGTTTTTTTAATTCATTCAAAGGCGGGGTTCTATAATGAAGGAAACCCCCATTTTGTTCCAATTTGTTGTCATATTCAGCCATAGCTCTGTTTATAGACAGCCTTTGATAAAAATGACATTGTTTACAGCATTTAAAGAATATTTTCACCGTATCAGTTTTATCTATCAACTTCTAGTTGAATAATGCAAATTGAAAACTGAAAGTAACAGTTAATAATTGCAGGAGTAATTCTTGGTCAAGTGTAACTACCAGAGCAGTAAGACTGACATTATCCCCAGAGAATGCAATGCGACCCTGCTCAGAGACAGCAAGGCTTCTTTGACAGAATAACCACTCGGGCTCTTCAATTCTCCTAAAAAGAGAGCTCATTATCTTCATATATAGATGCTGTTTATAAAGATAGAAAAATATTATTACTCCCATTTTGCAGAAAGGTTAACTGAGATCATGACTTGCTCAAAGCCCAGCTTCAGTGGAACATTGGACAAAACCTAATTCAAGCCATTGCTTCTCTCAGAGTAGGTGAATTTTTAAAACATTGAAAAGGTACAGTTAGAGAAATAACAGCAGGCTTGATATGCTTCAGCTGTCAAAGTTATGTGGTACTTTAATGCTTAATTCAGACTAAACATTAAGGTCATTAGAAGAATCTGTTGAAAAAACTGTTATGAAGCAGCAAACTGAGTGTTGTGCCTATCAGACTATTACCCTTTACTGTTTCAGATGTAACATTAACTGGATTGGAATAAACAGAGTGGAAAAGCTCTTGCTTAATTGACATTTGGAAGTCAAAGACAATGGCTCTAAAAGGAAATATATTGCTTGGATTCCAGGGGACTAGCCAAAAATATGAAAAAAGAACAATTAAGACTACAGACCTAGTGTACTTCTATTGAAACTTCTTTTCATTTTTTTTGAGAAATTTAAATAGTACACAGTAAATTAGATTTGATTTCTGGCAAATTATGCTTTGATGCTGCATTCAGCAAGCGCTGGCTTCAATCAATGTCACGCTAAAGCTCTGTTATGGTAATAGCCGCTTGTGAGGCTGAGCAGGATGATATGGAAATCAGATGGTTGAACATGAATAGAAAGCATAGGCCATGTACGAGGGGGCTTTGAGATGAGGGGACGGGGGGACCCTAAGGTTAATCACATCATGTTCAGAACTGTTTTTACAGCACAGAACAGTATTCTACTGCAAGAATTAAGATGGAGATAGAAAAGCATGAGCAGTAGTGAGCATTAGTTGTGTTGTTCAAAATGGGAAGAGTGCGTTCTGTTGCACTCTTTCTAGATGTTGTTTTATGCATGACTGAATGGATCTTTTATTCTATTAATAAATGTATATGAAGGTAGCCTCTGCTCAAGTGTTAAACAGCTGTAGAAAAAAAAGGAAGAAACAAATACTGTAAATTATTTCAAAGTGATTTCTCAACTCTTCTCCAATCTTAATAATTAGCAGAATCTCTAATCTGTTGGGATGGATTGTATTCATTTCTTTCCCAGTAGTGTTATTGAATAATAAAGGTTACACTGAGTCACCAGGAGCTGATAAAGCTGCTGATATAGAGAAGTTTCACTGAGACAGTCAGTTCATCCCTCCTAGGTGAACTCTGGTCTCCTGGTAAGAAATGTGGCAAAAGACTTAGAAGGGGAGGAGAAAATTACCACAGAAAAATGTGAATTTATAGCAAAAAGTACACTGATCCCATATCAA